AAGATAAAATTTCATGGTGCTCATAATGTTCTGAAATTTAGTGCATCAATAGCGATAGCAAGATATTGATATCATTTACTTCACAACAAATACTTGCTTTATGCATACGACAATACGTTTTCTATATCGCCATTCTTTAATAAACGAGTTAACCCGTTTATGCTCACTGCATCCTTAGAGATACACATGTTAAGTGACGAATATCTAAAAACCTAGATTTTTAAATATGTCTAGTTAATATTTTAAGCACACAATTTTAATTTTAATTGATAGAAAAAACTTGAGCATAAATGGTTAATTTGATACCAATAGTAGGTGAGTAAAGATATTTTGAATATGATTTGTCTTAGATAACAAAGACAAAATTTTTTTGACAATTTAACGCTTAGTTTTTACCGAAATGGAAAATAAAACTCAACGAACAACATCCGAAAATAACTCTTTTTATTACGCTAACAGAAAAATTACAAACGGTTGTTACCTGCTTTTGATGCTAAGTCATAATCTGAACCATAACTAACTGTTTCATTTTTCTCAGTATGAATTGGTACATTATCTTTGTCACTCTAAGCAAAATAAAATATTGAACAAAATTTAAAAGTTGTACATGGTAGCGTTTCGCTTGTATCCGTTATGTAAAACTAAGTCGTCTTCCTAGAGTTCTGTAAAAGAAATAATCAATACGTACTGTTTCTAAAATTTCAACATTTTTACAATAAGCTTTTTGCAGTACTTCGGTAAAGAAAAAAATTGCCAAAACCTAAATAAACCAATTAAAATTATTTCAGACATACGCTAAATTTAGCAGATATGTAGTTCTTACCTGAACTACGTAACATATCAAAAATGAAATGACAAATGGTTTAAAACCAGATTCAGACAATGTCACAGGAAGACCTACAACAAACATAACTAATGTTAAATATGAAAATAATTGAGAAGAAAAGTTCATAAAAAGAAATTTATTAACTATGAATTGAACTTACCCAATATTCCTGTACCCAATACTGAGGCAATCGAAACGAAATCTATAAATTAAAATAATATAATAAATTCTATAAAAATTTAACGCTGTTATCGTTAGAAGACTTGAAGTTTAATGAATTATTTACAGAACAAAAATTTTTTAAAGGTGAATATAAAAAATGTAGTCTAACATTTTTTGCAAAAAAAAAAAGATTTTTTAATATTCACAATGAAGAAGAGAGTCTTCTTTACTAATCATACATAGAACACTTGAAGTTTTACACAGAGATTATCGTTTAAGTCCTCGGGATTGAGACTGATCAATGAAAACTCAAATACCAAAGTAACACTAAGAAAGCGAGAAACTCTATCTTCAGAAATAGTTGGATGCTGACTGACTTGTATTCTAATTGAATCTGCCGCTGAATTGACCGATCCATCGGACAATTCACTGTCTGATTAATCCACAACATCTGTTTGCACTCACTTGACGCTAGATTCAAGGCAAATACAGCTAGATGAAATTTTTATATATTTCACTGCAGCTAGATTCGAACTAGCTTTTTTTTTCGTGAGACAAAAATCAGTATGAAATATTTCTTTATTTTGCAAGTAAAAATTAATGCATGTTCCCTTAAAAGCAATTACTTTCTCATGTCAACTTACAAAATTGTGAGTAATGGCATATATTTTTAAATAAACCATCTTCTTTTGATGACATGCTCTAAAAAGAGACCAAAAAGTTAAAGATGAAAGTAAAACCATTGATAAACTTTTGCTTACCGCTTGGAAATGATCTAAAACGTTTGAAGAATTCGGTTGTTAGTTTGAAAGATTGTAATCAACGAGTAATTGGACTAAAGTAGATTTTCTTTCTTCTTCCACACACATATTTTCCTAAGTGCACATATCAACTGAGAGTGTCAAGCAACACATCTAGTAGGAAAATAAAACAAGCTGTACATCATCCGTAAATCAAAGTCAAAGTGTTATCAAAAATCCCACCATTGAGTTCTTAATTTATCAGATTCAATTTACTGCCTCGAAAAGTTGCGGTAAAAGTATTGGTCATCAAAAAACTTTACTACTACATAATTTCCGTATCAGCATCTCAAAGACAGAAATCTTGTTTTATGACATCTACTACTAAGACGATCAAACATACGATAGTAACACTTTTTTTTCAACAGTTATTTATCTAAGCCAGTTTTGAGCAAGAGTCCGAACGTATTGGTTTTCTAACAATTATTTAACCTTTGCTTTACAATAATTGCTTGAACTTGTTCAACGGTCAATATAAACTTTTCAGTTGTTTTAGTTTAACTACAAGAATAACTGAAAGTGTTCGAGAAAGCTCAGTACAATTTTTGCACTCTCTGAATTAGTGTTCTTTAAATGAGAAAAGAGATCAAGTATGACTTTTGTTTTGTTAAGGGCTTTATTTAATCCATCTCCAAAAAGAAACAGAAGTTAGATTGGTCTCTTCAGTTCTGGCTAACATGAAAACATGTAAATACATTAACATAGCAAAAATAAAATTATGAAAATAATAATAAGACAAGACAAGTGTGACGGCGACTAAGTGTTGAATTATGCTCAGGGATACAAAATGCGTGAAATGTTCGAAGTAAAATCTTTCCTTTTTTCTGCTATCAATTAGTTGATGACCCAGTAAAACTAAAACTGTTGAATAACACATAACACAGTTAAATTCTGTGTTTTTTGTGTTTTTCTTTTAGTAAATATGCATATACCTGCGAGCTAAGCAGTAATTACCATAAAATAAAAATAAAATTTCAGTTGAGTTAACATATGCCAGAAGTAAAATTTCTAGGGCCAATACGCTTTTGTTCTTTGACCTTTTTTTGTTTTATTTGCCCAAAATGTTAGTAGTCTCTTGAGTAGAAACCTAACAAAATTCTCATACATTGAAGTTATTTTGCTGAGAATCTCTGAATAAGAGTAACACTTAAGATGTCGCTACTAAAACACATGTGCACTCTCTGCTCTATCATTCGCTTTCCGTTGACCATTCGAAAGCATGATGATTATAGAGATAAATTAGTAGTTAATATACAAGGTAACGCTCATTTGCACTCGCTAGGGCCCTTGACTTTAGAAGCTTATATCTGCGAACGACCCTCCATCACTTTTGAATCAACGACAATGTTCACGCCTCCCTTCAGTCGGCGTTCGCTAGGGCACTATCTAACAGTCAGAGCGCCAAGCCTAAAATGCATAATAGTATAACGTTTTCCTGAATTCAAAATCTTAAATTTTGCCCACATTACGCCTGAAAGAATGTATCTTAATCAGAGAACGTATCCCTAAAATATTTTCTTAATCAAGCGCTTCCTTCTTTAGTAGGTTGTCTATGCAAAAATGTCGTACACAGGAGAGTAGTACATGGAAACGACATTCAATATGGTTGATTTCTGTGACTTTATTGCAATAAAGTCACAGAAATCAACCATATTGAATGTCGTTTCCATGTACTACTCTCCTGTGTACGACATTTTTGCATAGACAACCTACTAAAGAAGGAAGCGCTTGATTAAGAAAATAGCGTAACGCGTACGAGGAAAAGTTGGGTTGAGTTCTTGCAACCCATCCAACTTTTCTTTGTATTACGAACTTGCAAACTCAGTCGCCAATGGGTATGAATAGCGGTCATAAACCGATGATATTTAATCTTACATTAGACGCAAATGTCAAGCCACTGAGTCCCCGTCTATCACTGAATTACAAGACCGCAAGTTGAACGTTTACAGGCAGGAACTCAACCAATTATTATCTCAATGGAATGAAAACAGGTTAATTTGCACACCAACAGATTTGGAAGCATACAATGCATTCATTACGAACAGCATCGTGTCAGCAGCTAAACTAGCTGTTCCTCCTGCCAATACAAAAATTAATTATATATTAAGTAAAGCAACCGTTCATCTCCTAAAGGAGAAACACAGACTCTACAGGAAAATGAAAAAATTTAACTTTCACGAAAACAAAAACTCTATTACAACCAAAAAATACTGTTAGAAAATGCCCTAAGAAATGAAAAATCTGCAAGATTTAAAAAACTGACTGAAGTGCTGTGTAAGCGCAAGATGAACACTGGAAAAGTGTGAGCTGTTGTAAAACGGTACCACAGTAAAAGAACTAAACAATCTTACAATGGTATATTGAAATACCACAATCATAAAGCTTATACTGACAGAGAAAAATCAGAAATATTTGCCAAGTACTTTTCTCAGGAGGTGTACAGTGAAAAACAAGATATTTTACCTTTTCATCATCATGTATCAAACATCTCTCGGACACAAATGAATAACCTGTTAAAGAAGAAACTTAGAAATATTCGGGAAATAAGCAAGAGCGAGGTGATCTGGCATTTAAAACGACTGAAAACTACCTCTCCTGGTCCGGATGACGTCCGTAATAGATGTCTTAAAAATTACACACCAACATTGGTAGCTTGTCTAACTAAATTATTCAACATTTCAATCAACATCGGTTACGTACCAAAAGCATGGAAACATGCTTATATTATTCTATTACTGAAACCAAAGAAGAAAAAAGAAGATCCTTCTAGCTACCCTCCCATCAGTTTATTAAGTTGTGTCGGTAAGATTTTGGAAAGGATCATGAAAGATCGTATCATATCAATCTTAGAAGAAAAAAAAATACTACCTCATCACCAGGCTGGATTTCAGTCCGAAAAAAGTACACTGTACAACATTTTAAGATTACAAAATTTTGCCAACAATAATTTGGACAAAATTAATCATTGTGCGGTGATATTCTTTGATATCAAGCAAGCATTCGATAGCGTAAGGCATGAGGGACTCATTTATAAATTATTCGACCTGAAGCTGCCGGATTATATCATTCGTTGGTTGATATCTTTTCTCAGCGGAAGAACGGCAGCAATTGAACTGGAAAATCTGCTATCTCGAACATTCGGTCTGAAAAGTGGTACTCCTCAAGGATCACCACTCTCTCCTCTGCTATACATTTTGTTTACAGCTGATTCTATGGATGGATTGCCACTCCACACGGCTCATGGACTTTTTGCCGACGATACGGCTTTATGGACATCCTGTAACACTACTTCTGGTTTAAACCGGCGTGTTCAGGAATCCGTGAATGTTTTCGCTCGTTGGTGTGAAACCTGGAAGCTCACTTTACAGTCAAGTAAAACTGAAATGCTTCACTTTAGTGTACACCCACGTAAACAGTACAAAAAGCAAATACAAGTCATTGTGGGAGCAGCAACTATTCGCCCACAGGCACACGCAAGGTATCTAGGGGTGATTTACGACAAAACATTTTCGTGGAAAGAACATGTGAACAATGTCAAGGAAAAGGTCAACTCCAAAATCAATCCGTTGAGATTTCTTTCACGATCAACTCTCCAGAATCGAATGATCGAATCATGGTGAACTTATTCAAATCTTTAATTAAACCCGTGTTAACATTTGGTGTATCAATCTTGCTAAAAGCAGAACAAAATATGGCAAGAACTTCAGAACAACAGAAACACCTCAGAACAAAGCATTACAAGCTGCACTGGGAATTCCACCCTACATATCTAGAACATATATACATCAACAAAGTAGAATAGCAAGGCTAAAAGAATATTGTGAACACTTAACTAAAAGAGCTCTTCTACGAGCGGATATCACGATGGAAAACCTACACACTTTATTATACTTGTAAACTTTTACTTTCCGTTGTATTGTTTTCTGACAAAAGACTTCAGTCATCAGTCAGCTTGTATATCCTTTTTTCAGGTTTATTAATAATAAACTGCTGTTTCCTCAACTATAGTTGAGGAAACAGCAGTTTATAAATATCAAATGTATTGATTAAAGTATACTTTAATCAATACATTTGATATTGATTAAAGTATACTTTAATCAATACATTTGATATTTACACAATTTCGCATTTGATTTAGGTAAGTAAAGTAGAGATTTGATGGTCTGCTCAGATCCGAGACTGCAGACGAGGATCACGCTCTAGGGTGATACTTTCTAACTCCTAGCGGCAGTAGGAGTCTTGTTAGTTCTCTGAATTGAGCTCCTATCAGGTTGAAATGTGTGTAGCGAGGAGAACTGTGATTTCAATTTTTTACATTGAAAATAATGCGGTTGTTTATTTAGGTGAATGGGATGAAACTTTCACTCAAGCTGAATTGATCACAAATCCAAATGTTCAAAATGATAAAAATGTCAAAGGGCTGGTTGATTTATTAGAATTACAATTAAATAATTTCAAATTAAGTCAATACCGATTACTGGGATACGAACGACATCGTGATGCACATCACGGTATAAAACTGGAATCAGTTGACGATCAAAAGCAACTATTGAAAAATATTGGAAAAGGTGATTTCAGTAAATATCCATTCAAAGATATTGTATCAGAAATGATAGCCGACATACAACTTATAGAAACCAAAAGTCAGATGAAACGTTTTTCATAATAATGTTTTGTCCTCTCTGTTATGTCCTCTCTGTTATGTCCTCTCTGTTATGTTCTCTCTGTTATGTCCTCTCTTAATTCAGTAACTAGGAAAATTCATTGCTTCATGAATTAATTCCAGGTTTGTTTTTATGGATAATTGTTATTGTAAAATTGTTTCGTTTTATCTTGATTGATATTAATTATTTTGAGTTGAGTTTCGTGATTTCTTATAAATATTCAAAAAATTTAAATTGTCTTTGAACACACAAAATTCTTTCAGATTAGTCAAACGCCTTTTTTTACATATGCCTTGAAAATTAGCTTAAATTAATTTAATTAGAAATACTTTAAAAGTTCGAATGAGCTGGTACAAGAGCGCCATTTGAAACGTAATATGTGACGCTGAAACACAGAGACATCCACTTAGCTTAAGTATTGGCTCGCAGCTATTGCCAATCACTATCAACATTTTCACGTTGTTGCATGTTTATTTTATGTTATGATGTTATGGTATGTAATAAAGAGGTGAAAAACTTTGTTAATTCACAAGGTAACGCTCGTCTCCACTCGCTCAGTCCCTTGACTTTAGTAACCTGGATCTGCGCTAGTGAACGCCCTTTCGTGACTTTTAAATCGAAGACAATGCCCACGTCTCCCTTCGGTCGGCGCCCGCTCGGGGCCTAACTAAGCCATCTTCTGGATTGTTTTCTGTTTTCAGGTGTGAGGTTCGCAATCTAATATAAATATAAAAAGCAAAAATCTCCAGAGGTCTATAAATAAATATTACCGAATTCAAAGCAGTGCTCATGCCTCCCGTCGGTCAGGGTTCACAGCCACTATTGCTGAGAAACGCTGTGAACTTCTCTGATTCCACGGAAAAACTGTCTGATGTAAATAAAGCTAAAAGGTTTTCTGGATCCCCTACAGATCCTAAGGAGGTTGGCAGTATTTTTAATCGATTCGCTGTGATAGATTATTTATACACTGTAAGTTTTATTATCCGCAGGCGACTTTTTTTTTGTATTATCGCATATGACTGCTATCCCGCGACATCTATCTGTGGTCTACAGAAAACGTTTGCTTAGCTTTTTCTCTCCCTGCATTAGTAGATATTGCAGATCATCCCTTTGAATATTTTCTCTCTCGTAGTTAAAAAAAAATTTTTTATGCTTTTCGCTTATGATTGGCTTATACGTAGAATATCTGACAGACATTTTTCCGTATTTTGCGCACACACACGATCAAAACTAGGCATCCATGAATTTTATCCATAAATCTCTAGTATCAACGTGAAATTTGGAAATTTTACGGCGATAGTAGAGGTTTATGGATAAAATTTATAGATACCTAGTTTTGACCCACACAGACAGACAACCATTTTGTAAAACCCTAGACTTAAGTCAAGAGAATATGCAGTTACGACTGGCTGTTACCAGTAACAAATTTTTGTTACTTTGCTTTTTATTATCTTGTTACTTCATCAAAAGTAACACGACGACAAATTTTAATAAGAGAATGTCAATAACGCGTCAAGACTGATAAATACTTGTTTTGTAAAAGAATTTATTCCTTTGTTACTTTATTAAAAGTACACAAGGTAACAAAAACAAAGTAACAAAGATGTAGTCAAGAAGCGTCAGACACAAAGTTAAATATTATTAGAATGGATCCAATTTTTTGGTTCTTCTGTGGATTATAACAATTTGCTTTTTGCGTTTGCTCTTTATATATCTTAACCGAGCAATATCAAAACTTGCTTTTTTAGAGATAAAAGTGTATAGTTTTAAATCTGGACTTACCTAGATTATCTACTTTTTTATTTATTAATCTTATTTATTCGAATTTGTTTCTTTAAGATCTATCCTTTCTTTTCACTGAATAACTTTTAGGTGTTTTATCTCCACTATAGAGACATAAGTTGAGTTTAATTCATTTGAACAAAAAGTCTTTGTAGAAATGATTCGGTGTTTAACGAATTATCAATTTTATTTCCGTGCATTTAGGTATAATATTTTTTTGTATCCGATGTAAATTAATATTTTCTATCTGTTTTTTAAATGAGTGATCATCATTTTGTGTAATCCAATGACGAGAAAATAATTGATTTTTCTTGATATTGTATCATATGTATGCTGCTGCTTACAATCTTCACTTTTCGACTTAATAATCTCTATATTTTAAAGTTGAAAGTTAAAGTTTTTAAAAACAGTTTAGTTAAATTATATTATTATACACTTGAAGAGAAAAATTTAACTCATTGAGTAGAATTGCATAATTTTTGCTTGTGTACTTAATACATTTCGTTATTGCTTGGAAAAGTTTATAGATTGTTTAGAAAACGGGTTTTACGTATCGAATGATTTTGATGAGCTCAAGATTTTCGTTACATACAGTAATTATCATCATTTTTTTTGTGTTCCCTATTGTTCGACTTGATTGTTCATTGTATGAGTGTTATAAAGTTTTGGAAAATCTTCATGATATAGAAAAAATTAAGATAAGGTGATGAATAAATATATATCGTAATATCGTAAATAAAAACAAAATGCTAAATATATATAAAAGTGATTTATTTATTCAAATTATTTTGATATGAAATGATGATTTATGCTATTTTTATATAAATCGTGTGATATTATTTATATTTTTAAAAACTTTTTATTTGTTTATTTGTTTATATAGTATCCGACACTTTCATTTAACATCACGTGTACTAAAGTCACCAACACTGTCAAATGAATCTTCTTTATCGAAAATTTTATCATCATGGTCTCCTGCCGTGCCAGTTGAACAAGCACTAACATTACCATCTATATTTTATACAAACAATGACATATTTGAATTAGAAAAACAGACTGTATTTGGTCAAAATTGGTTAGCTGTTGGACATGTATCACAGTTGAAAAAGCCAGGTGATTTTATTAGTGGACAATTTTTATCAGAACCATACATTGTAAACGTAGATGAAACGGGTAAAATTCGTTCACATTATAATGTATGTTGTCATCATGGGATGTGTTTAACAACAAAACTTAATGGTAATGTAAACGAATTTCAATGTCCGTATCATGGATGGATATACGATTTAAATGGACGTTTGAAAAAAGCATTAAGATTAAAAAATATACAAAATTTTAAAGCATCAAAAACAACATTAAAACCGATCGATGTTAGAATAATAGGACCATTTGTTTATTTAAATTTAAATTTCTCAAATAGAGAACAAGAGATTGATCTCTCACATATCGAATCAGTTCATGAAAACTACTTAAAACTGACAAATTATGATGAATTAGAATTTTTACATACGCGAACCTATTCACTGAAATGTAATTGGAAAGTATTTATTGACAATTTTTTGGATGGTGGTTATCATGTTAATGTCGCACACAAATGGTTGGCTGCATATTTAAATATGAAAGACTATCGAACAATTGTTAATAATAAATATTCTGCTCAAACGTGCTATGGTACAAATGAAAAGCGTTTAGAGGGCAATGTGTGTTATGTTTTTTTATATCCAAATTTTGCAATTAATCGATATGGTTCATTTATGGACACAAACAGTGTAATTCCAATTGATAAACGAAATTGTTTAGTTAAAATTGATCATTATCTCGATAAAAGCGTCGATCGAATAACACATAAAAATTTCATAGATAAATCGTTAAAAGATTCATATATTGTACAAGATGAAGATGTGTTTCTATGTGAAAATGTACAAATTGGTTTAGAATCAAATGCTTATGATTCTGGTCGATATGTACCGACTGTTGAACATGCAATGCACGATTTTCATAAAATATTATATAAAGAAATTAATGATTTTTATCAACATCTTATTCTTGAAAGATAATTGTTATTTTTCGTAAATAATTATGAGATAGAAGACAGCATTTTTTTCTTCGTCACTGAAATTCGGAAATAAAAGAAATTGAAAAGTTGCTATTTACTTCTAACTTTGTCTTTCATTTTACAATAGTCTAATATATTTTTAAACTAATTAAGTTATTTTAATGGTCAATTATTGAAAAAATAAGTGTTAAATTTTTTCAAAACAATTGTTTTTTTCCTTTTTTAAATAATTTCTTTCTTTTCCAATCTTGAATCATTGTTAATGCTGCTAGTCGACCAGGTGCTCCTGTCACACCACCACCCGGATGAGTACTACTTCCACACAAATATAAACCATCAATTGGTGTACGATAACTTGAACACGATGATGAAGGTCTAAATGCATATAGTTGATCTAACGATAAGGCACCATGAAAAATATTTCCACCTAAATTAGAAAAATATAATAATAAATATCTAAAGAAAAGTATATGAGATAGGTTTTTATCACCTTCTAGTGAGAATTCTTTTTCTAAATCTTGTGGAAATAGCATATCTTTTCCAACGATGAGTTTTTCAAAACCTGGTGCATATTGTTCAATGGAATTAATTATTGTTCGATAATAGTCATTCTTATCTTTTTCGCTCATTACAATTTTTTGACCATTTAATAATCGATACGGAGTATACTGTGTAAATAATAGAGCAACATGACAATTATTCGGTGCTAATGTATGATCTAATACAGAGGGAATGACCTAGAAGAAATAAGCGTATTATAATGCAATGTATTTAACTATTTTTTATAAGTATTGACAAAAGTTTTTGTATGAATATGAATTTGTTCAGTCGACAGTCTATAGGACAGCTGAAATGATTGCTTACAGGTATTTGTTCACTAATACCTACCATTTCGATCATTGGTTGTTGACTTGGTTTACCATTAAGAGCATCAATATAGGCACCTTGTAAACTACCCATTGTTTCAGTATTTAAATGGATTGTACATTGATGATGAGGCATGATACCACTCGATGTTGTATTTGGATCAACCGTAAAATTTCTAAAATTAATTCTATTATGAATGGTTTTAAACACTATTGTTTCTAACTTACGGGATTCCTTTTAGAGCAAGATTTATTTTTGTCGTACCACTCGTATAATCTCCTGATGTAATGTATCGTTTTAACTCACGTAATTCATCATTATTTTCAATTATATTTGGCGATATTAAATGGTTAAAAGTTGAGAAGGCCGTTGCATTCGATGCAACAAAATTTGATTCAATTTCTTCACCATTTTCCAATATGACACCAGTTACTTTTGAATTTTTAATATTAACTTCTTTTACTGGACAATTCATTCGAATTTCAACACCTGACGACCGAGCAGATGAAGCAATACATTCACTCAAAGCGCCCATACCACCTTCAACATAACACCATGCTCCTAAAAAAGAATTTACAATTGGTTTCTGAATCTACTACTTGTATACTCTTTTCGGATCATAGTGAACATAACGACACGCTACAGACACTCACATAGAAATGGATATCTGTGCAGCAGTTGTGATTGTTTATGGATATCTTCATGTTTTACTATTATCCACTCTTTTTCATCTCATATTCGATTAATTTGCAGAAGGAAAAAGCTACTTCAATTCTATAAAAGAATATAGTTATATGTTACCATTCTTATTTTCCACTCCACCCATTACATGATGAAGTAATACGTAACCGGTGCCAGCATCGTATGGACCTAACATTGCACCTAAAAGTCGAATTCTAATGCTTTACTTTTTTCTTCAGAGATGTTTAGTTATAATATAAGGTGCCGGCAATTCAAAAAGATAGTATCTATTTTTTTTCGTTTTTTTTGGCACGATTGGATAGCGCTCATTGAGTTACCTAAAAGAAACTCAATTTCAGATTTTCGGAAGACATTTTTTTGATACAAAAATGAGGAAATTTTTGAATGATAAGCAAAAATCTCATGTTTGTTCGTCTTTTAAGATTCCAAAAGAATCATTTTTTCTGGGTATGGACGAAGTGTAGGAAGTCAGTCTTGAGAATTTTAGAAGCCAAAATAAACTCAGAATGGTAAAGGCGTTCGCCAGTCAATTTTGCAAACCTATCTAGTTCTAGCGTTTAGGAGATATTCTTTCTTTTATTCTATTTTGATCGTCATACTTATGGCAAAAGGTTAAGTATCCTTTCTGAAAAATTTTGTTTCGCTGAAGATAAATTTAATGTTTTCGAAATCAGTGAAAAAACAATGAAATTGGGCTCGTATTTTGCCGTTTCCTCTATCAAAATTACTTTAGACAATTTTGGATTTCAAGTGAAAATTCTGTTTTCAATTTTCAACAAAATCGAGAAAAACCACGAAAACACGAGCTAGTCTAAATATTCCGAAACACACATGTTTCACCTCAGTGTTTAATGCTGATTCTAAAAATGACGTTATTTTTGTCAAAAAGTTGAATTTCGATAGAGAAAACGCAAAATATAAGCCCAATTTCATTGTGTTTTCACTGATTTCGAAAACATTAAATTTATCGGCAACGAAACAAAATCTTTCAAAAAGGATACTTAACCTTTTTCCCACAAGTATGGCGATCTAAATGAAGTAAAAGAAAGAATTTTATCTCCTAAACGCTAGGACTAGATAGGTTTGCAAAATTGACCGGCAAACTCCTTTACCATTCTGCTCGTGTTTCGCAGATTCTGAGTTCATTTTAGCTTCTAAAATTCCCAAAACTAACTTACTACACTCCGTCCATACCCAGAAAAAATGATTCTTTTGGAATCTTAAAAGACGAGCAAACATGAGAATTTTGCTTATTATTCAAAAATTTCCTCACTTTTGTCCATTTTTAACAGTTTTGCATCAAAAAAATGTCTTCCGAAAATCTGAAATTGAGTTTCTTCTAAGTAACTCAATAAGCGCTATCCAACCGTGTCAAAAAAAACGAAAAAAATACATGTTATATTTTGAATTGCCGGCATCTTACCGATAAGTCCATCAGTAGCCAATGTTGCTTTTAATATTTCACATTCAAACCATCTGTCGAGTACTTTACTCACTGATCCCGTTAATAATTGATAAAAATCTAAACTTCCACTTAATTTTAAATGTTTTAACATATTTTTGTACACTGTTAAGAGCTGAGTCCAGCTTTTTATTCGACGATAAGTAAATTGTTTGTTTGTAGTTTGAAGATCGGGTGGCGATGTATCAAGTAAAACCTAAAATAGAATAAAGAATATTTATAAATAGCAATAATTAGACTAAAAATGTTTAACAACTAACACAAATTACGAATGTCTAATATCAAGAATAGAAGACAGACGAGAATAAATCAACTTAGATATGCGAAAAGAATTGATCTAAAATATATATATTGTTAACATGCAAATATAATAGAAACTTTGTTCATACTTGTATCGAATCGCTCATTTTCTGTAACCAATGTTCATATTTTTGATAATTTTGTGCATCTGCATGTGAGAAGTTAGCAATTTGTTTTGCATTAAATTCATCATTTTGCGATAGAAGTAGTGAACGTTTTTCTCGACTAATTGGTTGTTTCAAAGGAGTATAAGATGATGGATCACGAAAATAATATTTGAGACCGTGTTTTTTTAATTCTAAATCGTTAATAATTATTGGTCGAAATAGACTCATTAAATATGATGCACGAGAAAATTTAAAATCATTAATAATTTCTTCTGTACAAGCTGCACCGCCTATAATCCAACGTTTTTCACATACAAGTACTCGTAAACCATTTCGAGCTAAATAGGATGCGGATACTAAACCATTATGACCACCTCCAACAATAATAATATCATAAGCTTTTTTAATTGCGGTTGAAGCAATAGCTGAAACGGCCATTATTTCTTAAGTTATCCTCTTCTCTCTATTTCTTTTTCTTTTTTTTTTTGTTAAGAACAAATAATATTAACATATTTTATAGTTATTATTAATGTTTACACACATTTTTTTATTTTTTATCTTATCGGACTTGACTTTGCGGGTTGTTTTAACTTTTGAAAAAAAATATTAAAAGATAATTAGACTGAACTTAAAAGAAGTGTGACGTGACCATGAATCAGATAGTTAGAAATAATTTTGATTAAAAAAAAAAAAAATCTCAGTATCACTCATGACTTCATTCTGAAGAAGAGAGAATTTGTCAAGAGATTAAATGGACCGTGTATATTTAAATTTATTAAGACTTTTTTTATGCAATATTTCAGTATTCAATATCAAATTATTAACTGATAAAACTTTAAACTAAAAATAATTGACCAAGTCTGTCTAAGACATTGACTCTAATATGAGCATGAGTCACTTTTAAATATGTATTAAAAACTAATAAAAATAAGATGTGATTGTTGTTTTTTTCTATAAAATATTGACTGTAGAGTTAATTATTTATGAACAATTTCTATTTATTATCTAGATTCTTCTATTTCATTTTTAAACTTTTAGTATTGATAAAAAAAACAAAAAAAAAATATATATATATATATATATCTTGACTACACACCCGGACAATGATCTGTGTATTGTATCTATGATCATCGAATGAATAGTGTGAAGAATAAAAGAAGAACGTCCAAGAACGAGAATGAGAAAACTAAAACGAGTAATTCACAAACAATTTGGAGGTATTATTTTAATAGAAAAATCTTATTTAATTAAAAGAAAAAAAATGAGAATATTTATTTATTTTAAATTTTTAGGCATTGGAAATTTTTTTGCAATGATTATTTTAGTATCTGTTAGTGTTATATTTATTAATACATATTTGCTTGCTAAAAAACGATGTATGGAAGTAGATTGAATATATTAATAGTTTTTAAAAATTTATTTTCCTAATTTTAATTTTAGCTCCAGATGATTCTGGAAATTCATCAGAGATTCCTCAAGATAAAACTCAAATAGTGGTTAAGAATATTAGTTATATACAAAAAGAAGAAGATAAACAACAACAACAACAACAACAACCGAAAAATTTACACAAAGCTAAACGATTAAGTGTGCCAGATGCTGGTTAGATTTTGTTTTTATTTTAATTTGACATAATTTACAAAATTTAATTCTAAAAGTATATCTTATAACATTTTTTAGGTTGTGAAATCGAAGATAAATGTACAGATGATGATGTTCCATATAAAGTTGTCTCTGGCGATGGAATGGATAAATATCCAATTATTTGTTTTAATAATAAATTGTATGTAAAAGAATAATTTCATTTTTTTGTCATTTTTACTTAATGATATAATTGTTTAAATCTGTTTAGACTGGTTCATAAAAATTTAAAAGATACAAAAATAGGACGAGGTGTAAATTTAGTTGCAATTGATGGTATGTATTGCAAAATATTAATTTTTATTTGAAATTAATTTACAATTATTTCTCTTGTTCATTTAAACTATATTTATTTAAAGATAAAGAAATCCTAATAATCCTCGAACTAAAACGACAAATTACCATTACATAGTTCAAGGAGTTTTTTTCTCTTGTTTAGGTCAAACATTTGATGTTAAAGCTACAGAGACATTTGACACTTATCTTGAAGGTAAAAAAAAAGTGTATAATCATAGAAGAGAAAAACATAAAATCTCTAGGGTTTTCTAATACGATCGTTTGTATTGTACTGTATATTATAATTTAGAAACATTTTTTCTACGTCATTTAAAAATGAATTTAAACGATGGTGATATTATTATTATGGCTAGTTTTGATGAAATAACATATGGGTAGGTATAAAAATATTTGTTTATTGTTTGTCTGTTGAATGAAAACAGAATTGTGTCACCTCTCAATATCTAAAAATTAAAAATATTTTTTTTAATTAATGAATAGAAAATATTAAAATTTCAGAAAGGTATCATACAGTTTGTTATTAGATAAGACTTGATAACTGGTTCATCACATCGGTAATAAACAGAATAAAAAATAATATTGAAAATAATAATGTGATTCTACTAGAACCATCAACAGCAGAAAAAGTGGCAATCCGGCCGCGGGCATTTAGAAAATAGCTGAGCTAAAAAAAACGGAGGGGGCCGTATCACAAAAAAACTTAAGTCATGGGAAATGTAGTCTTAAAGTTAAGACCGAAAACTTAAGTCAGACTTAAGCCATTGACGCATTTTTAGAATTGCTCAGGCATTTAACGATGCGATTCGACGAAAACGATTTTTTAAGGTTTAGAGAATAAATATTTTGTTATTTTGCGGATTTTTGTCCCAAGTTTGTCACTGTTATCAACGACTTTCAAAAAGTAAACAAATCATCAACTTAAGTCTTTTCGTAATACGGTTTAAGTCCCTGGACTTAAGTTGGTCTTAAACTTAGACTTAAGTTTTTTCGTGATACAATCCCCTGATCTTATTATAAAAAAGAGAAAGATAGAATGTTTAACAACATTGAAAAAAGGGCAGAAACAACAACGTATATTAAAAGAAAAAGGACGGCTATGTATGAATATATAAAATATGTGCGTAGACGTGATTTGAATATTTGGCGAGAAAGTAGAACTATTGAACTACTAAAAAGATATTCGCCAGCAGTTCGTTTCAATCTTCAGCTATCAGATAAAAGAAAGAACTCTGTAAAGTTGTTTTTGAGATAAATGAAACAATAACAACAAGAAGGGAAGGGAAGATTTCTCATTTTGAAGAGAATCTTAAAAATGACGATAAGACATAAAAGAAAAATGTACTCATAGTGATAACTTATACAGAATCGTATAGACGTTTCCAATTGAAACTATTTTCAAAACTACAGCAGATAGATCTGACGTATGTTAAAAGAAAAAACCAAATAAATTATCTTTTTTTTCTCTCTCTCTCATCTGCCCCATTGAGATAGTCGATTTGTTTTTCTGTTTAGATTAAAAGAAGGAACCTTATCATTATTGGAAAAATATGGTAGTCAACTGATAAAAATAATTAAATTTCGTGATGCATTCGTTATGATTGGACAAAAAGGATTGGCAAGAGGAAAAGCAATCGAAATGGTAAACATTTTCTTCTACTTATATAGTGTAAAACTAGTTTTTATCAAACACTTTAACTTAAGTTTTATTTGTTTTTTTTTCATTTAATTATTGTATTGTTCTAGCATCAGCCAAAAGGACAGCGTGATTTTGCACCAGCAGCACATATATCCGGTTGTGCTAAATTTCCACGTATGTTCGATTTTAACAGTCTATATTTGACTTTTAAATTTCATTTTTATTTCTAGTCGGACCATTGACTCCATTACCATTTCAACCTACAGATGTTAAACAAGACTCAATTGCAACTGGTTCATCATTAAGAAATTGTGGCCTTGCTGAAAAATGTAAAGATAATGAATTTGCCGTTCATGTTTATACGGGAAAAGATAATAATGATGAACCAAAGATATGCATTGATGGAAAATAGTAAGCAGATGAAAGACATCTCTAACTTTTGTGTAAACATATATTTATTATTTTTTTGTTCTGTTTTAGTGTAATGGCAAAAGGTATAAATGATGCTGGTAGAGGTTTAAATATTGCTGTAGTTTCAAATGGTAAAGAAGTTATTCGAACCGGTCATTTTGATACATGGCAAGATGGTAAATGGAAATAGAAAATCATACTAATATATAAATTTGTCTATCTTTTATTTAGATAGTACAAATTTAGAAATATTTCTTGAAAATTTAGAAGATAATGTAATATTGATAGCGGTTACCTTTGATGAAGCATCACAAAAGTAAGTCAGTTATTGATAGATATTTTATGTGCCGCTTATGGAAAAAAACTAATTGGGAATATTGGCTTGAATCTATTTATATATCTATCTATCTTTAGTTTACGAAATTTTACACGTGTATTATTACGTGGTTACGGCAGTTCAAAAATAAATACACTTAATTTTCGTGATTCATGGGCATTTATCTATCACTATAAAACAAGTATTAATTTTAACTTTGAAGAGGTGACTTGTTTAAATCATTTTGTTTTCTTTCTTTTCTTTCTTTCTTTCTTTCATTCTTATGCTATGTTTGAACAGTAATAGAAACAACAATACCAATACTTTTCGTATTTAAAGCAGTAACAAACTCTCAATAAGATCTAGCTTTTTGGCTAAATCGCACATATGACTATCAATGTTTACTGTGTCCATTTGAAATTAAATGAGAGAACACAAAAAAACGCGATAGTTTTTCAGTTCTTGTAATATCACTGACAAATTTTTATTATTTGAAGTAAATTTTTTTTACACACGATCTGCTGTAGAAGTTTTCTATAGTATATCTTTTAGAATATTTTTAATAAGTTCTTTATCTTCAACTCTCGTATTCCTATCTGTGCAATGTTTACCTGGTTTTGGAGATTTGTGCAGGTCCCAGATGAGAATATGAGCGTTAAACAGATTGGATACGTGCAACAACATCTCAAATCTTGAGATTACTGTTCATATGAAATCGTATCAGCGAAAAAACATTCGTGTCTTTTGTACATTAGTAGATTAAACTATATATTTAGAAATTATAACTAGACGAAAAAGGTAGTGCATCTGCATATTTCTTTTTCTTTTTACAGTTTTCGTGTCGATTGGTAAGCTTGAGAGAAGATTACGCGAATTATTTTACGCGGATGCTCTAAGAGCTTTAGATTGATCACATAACATTTAATGGATTGTGGTTTGAGAATATACTTTTATCAGAGGGTATGTCTCTTCCAGGGCAAACTCTTGTGAGATACCTCAACATTGAATGTCTATATTTACTTTTAATATATAATTGTGAATACTTTCACATGTTGAGATTTGTTGATTGTTTGATATTTTTAACCCTATCTTATGCTTACAAACGAAAAATAGATAAAACGGGTTTTCTTTTATCATTAACCATCACATATAACAAGTCTGTACATTTTTGATCGTGCAATAAAAAATGTCACTTCATTTAATCCAAATATTTTTTTTAATAATGCACCACACTAATAATGAAACATAACAGGAACATTGACAATGTTGTTGTTTTTTCATAATAGTGTTTTGCCTAAATGTTTTCTTTTTACTCTTTCTATTTTCTAGATTGAGCCAGCATAGTAGAAATTTGCTTTTTGATTTGGGTTCTGGTGCAATACAAAATTTAAAATATCGTGATCACTGGGCACTTGTAGGACAGAAAGGCATTAAGGGATTTAGTCCATTTGAAGAGGTATATTTCATTTTTCAGTGTTGTTGTACATATACACACGTAGACAAAAACATGCTTCTACAAAAAAAATTGTTGCTTTTTTATAGAATTTAAAAGTATTGATTTGCTTTAATTAGTGTGAAAAAGTAATTAAGCTTGCATAAGATTTTATAAACATCACAATTGAAAATTTGAAATCACAAACATATATTTGTTTGATATGTAATTGTTTTTTCTATTCTAGTTAGCTTAGTAAACTGGGATAACCACTTTTATTGCGGATACTGTTGTTATTGTTGTTGTTATTGTTGTTGTTACTGCTCAAACTGAATCACACTTTGACCTTTTCATCTTTCTATTCAATTTGCTGCATGTTTTCTTAGTAGCAAAAAATACTAACTATAAATATAAGGTTGCTTTGAACAACAACAATTGTTTAATTTTTTTAGATTTCTTATGCAGGTTCTGGTAATGCATATGCTGTGGCTATTGATAAACGATTATGTGTACCACAAACTTGTAAGTAAATAGAGACCAGATAATAGTATGTCTAAATTATGTATGCTTCATTTTTAGTGAGAGGCATTAAAATTCGACCTGATCCATTACCATCTCGAAATGATAAACGTCGTGATTTCTGTTCAAGATACGATGGTTACGGTGACTTTTGTAGTGGTATGTGAAGAACAGACTATTGTATCCGTAGAAAACTTCAAATAGTATTCAAATGAGTTTTAGTTAACTTGGTTTTCTCCTCGATCGTAATCAACAGGAAAACAAAAAAAATGTTTTGCATACCTTTTCATAAAATAAATTCACTTTAGCCTAAGAATATCGTGAAAAGCTCGAAGACGTCTCATTTTGTCCAGAAAAGTTGTTCCATATCATTGAGCTGTGTGCAAAACATTTTCGACTAAACAGAGACTTGGTTTCCTAATGTTCTGCTTTTTTTTACTACAGATCCCATAGCAGCAAATTTTAATGAAACTTTCATATATCTATATATCACTACTAGTTGAAAACGCATTCAGCTATTGAAATCACTTTTCAGATTTGTTCTGATTATTATCATCGAGGAGAAAACCACAAATCATTTCTATAGATTTGCACATGAGTGTATTATGTCTTTTGCAAAATGGAGCTATCCATGGAGTTTACCATCGTCAAAGTGATCTTACAAGTTTTTTTCTTTTGATTTTAGATACAAACGTTGATAAAAATTTGCAGCCTGTTCCATTATTAAATAAAACGTTAGAAGATAATCCAATATATTCGACTCCAATATTGATTATTGCTGGTAAGCGTTTTAATACAGTTATCCAAAAATATGTCTACATGTATATATTCATGTTTTTAGGTATATCTCATAATTCATTACGTATGTGTCTTGAAACAGTATTAATGCAACCTGGTATCAGTTTAGAAAATGTTATGGTATGTAGAATAAAAATCTTTTTGTTACTTTTTAATTAGGATTTCTTGTTTAGGTAGCTGTTGATGAAAAATTTTCTGAACCATTAGCATTAATTGATTTATTTGGTTTTCGCGGTGAAAAAACATTGAGTAGTTCGACATATATGGGTAGAATAGACATATCTCTTTCTTCCTCTTGCTTTAATTAAAATTTTCTCTTTTCGTTTAGAACATTATGAGAAAGCATTGAAAAAAGTTTGGGAACTTTATCCAACAAAGGTAAAAGCTTTTTTTCTTCTTATTTGATTATAGTGTTAACGTTTGTTTACATCGTTTCAAAGGATAAAATGATTATTATCGAAGAAGATCTTATATTATCACCAGATTTTCTCTACACACTAGCATTATTAAGTGAACCATTTAGACAAGATGAAACAATTGGTGGAATAACAATGTGGAATCCAAATTGTAAGTTAAACAATTTGTTTCGTAATATTATTTTGTACAGGACATTCTTCGTGTCAGAAAGCTATCTCAGTCACTATATGTCCGATCTAGACCAAACTTTTTAGGGAATGTTGGACATCTCAGTGAATAGTTCCGATAAAGTCTTGAACGCTCAATCTACTTTCACTCGAATAAGAATCAGAATAGATCATCGACTGTCCGGCAGAGTCCTCCTCTCAGAAAGCAGCTAGAGAGCTCAGGTTGGTTTTAAAATATCAAATTAAGTTAGGATCACGATGTAAGAGAGCCAAATTTTTAAATTTTTTCTTTGTTTTATTTTTCAAAGGACTTTACTTTAAAAGTTCAAAAAAGGAAAGAAACTGGCGTATAACTTTCAACAGTGTGAAAAAATGATGGTCTAAACCAAAAACTAGGCTTTTTTACGTTATCTCTATCCGCTCCAGCTTCAGTTAAGAAAAGCCATAAGTTCATTTCGACTTTTCGTTATGCAGAAATCTGCCGGATTAGTGACTTTCACCAGATAAGATGGCTGTTTAACGCAAAAGATGAATTTTCTACTGTTTAATTATTTCACCAACACATTGATGGTGGTACTGATATCGACGTTAAAAACGCTTGTAACCGTGTTGTGATCGTTACAGTGGGGACTTAATTTAAAATAGTTGCATTTTGTACTATGAATGATGCTTTTATTTTAGCCTATGAGGATGTTGATGGTTCATCAAGTCTTATATATCGTGTAGATGAACTATATGGATTAGGATATCTACTTCGACGATCATTTTATGATGAACATATGAAAGCATTTAGTGAATGTTGTTCTAAACGGTATTTTATGACTAATAATGAAGATAAATATAATTCTAATTACTTTATATTCTTAGTGTTTGGTATCGTTGGAAATTTGTTGGTAGTTCTCATTCATTTTTAACTCCTGATATATCTCGTGTATTTCGTCGTCCTGTTGATGGCAATCATGATAATATGAAATATTTAGAAAAATTATTTAATAGAAAACGAAAAACAAATTTGTATGTATATTATTACTGACAGATATTTTCTCTTTATTGATTTTTTCTTCTTCAATATATATAGAAATCCATTTCCTGTCTTAACAAATGTTGATACATTACGTAAAGAAACATATGATACAACATTACTGAAATCTATTGCTAGTGCAACATTATTAAAATTACCAGATAAATGTGATACATTACAAAAAATTGATATATCAATTGAAAATAGGTAAGTTTATCAAAGTGATTATCTTTAACTGTTATTATTATTATTTTCATTTTTATTTAGTTCTCAGACATTTAAATATATTTATACTCAATCTAATCCAACTGATTATTCGACTTTAGTTTTAATAACGCGTTGTTTTGGTTTATTTCATCATGAATCAACCGATCCAACGGGTCTCTATCATGGCATATTACGTTTTAACTCAAATAAAAATCATTACTATTTAATTGGATCAAAATCAACATTCTATTCATCATCATCAGACTCTTCTTTAAAAATACAACCACCGCCTATTGTTGCTTAATAATTCACGAATCTCTATCTTTTTCTCTCTGTTTAGTTTAATTTAACAACGGCGGTCTATTAATGTTTTTTATTATAAGTTTACTTATAGTAGAACTAAAATAAACAACATTTATATAGACAGTTTGTTTTATGAAAGATTTATCTAGTCTCTCGTATATGCACATACGTGCAGACATCGTATTTTTATTGTTATTTTTTCTCAAAATTTATTTTTTAGCCTATTTGTTAACTCATTTTTTTTTATAAACTATTGTAACGCTCACAGTGTTATCGTCTTGTAATTTATTAGCGAAAAAAACCATGAGGTTAAGGCTAATCGCAATTTTCAGAAGTTAATTGTAGTCCTGTAGCATATTGATTTGACCAATTTATCACTCATACGAACAACCAGAACATTGAGAAGTTTTTTGTTTTAATTATTTAACTCTTTATGAACTAATTTAACTTTAATGTAATATATACAGAGCAATATTACTTTGTTTTCATCTTCTTCTTTTTTTGTATTTTTGTCTGATTTACTGTGTCATTCCATCAAAACCACTCTCCTTTCTGTTCTATGTTTTGCTTATTTATACATACACAAAACTTTTAGTTCATTTTATTTTTTTTTCAGTGAAAAAAAGCGTGATGTTTTAATTTATGATTATCATTGTTGTTGTTGTTTTTTTGTTTTTCTGTAATTTAAAAGTTATCTTATTTCTATTTATAAACAAATATTGGACACGTCCATCTTCCTATTTGTGTTAAAATGTATAATGAAAATATTAAAAAAAACTGTTTACCATCTAAACAATGTGATATAGAAAATAATAACAAACAATAGATTTTGAGTTTCATTTACGTGCGAAAATACGATAGTTATTCTAATTAACTTAATCTATTTTTTGTTAAGATATCGTGGTCTTTTATTGATAAAAAATTTTCATTATCCAATGTGAACAGGCCTCGCAGCGGTCCTGATTTCCTGATTTTTTAAGTCGTCCTGATTCGTCCTGATTTTGGCAAAAATTCTGATTTTCCTGATTTTTGTTGCTTTTCGAACTAGGTCATTTCCCTTGAAGATTCCAGTTTAGTCTAGGTACAGGCGTTTCAGAAATTCCGTCTTGAATCGATGATGACACTGGTTTCCAATGACCGCGTTGCTTGTCTTGTTTGCAGAGTAGCTATTGTTCTTTATGAATTAAAATTGTTGGTGAATATATGGAAAAAGTCATTTTTTTAATACAAGATTAGATGCCATTATCGTACAAGGAAAAAGAATCATCAAACAGAAGTTAGGGCTACAAGCTGATAGTCCGCTGATAGTCCGCTGAACCATCAACTCTCCTTGTTGAATGGCTATCAACGAATCGCAGTAGATTTTCATATATACACTTTTACGATTTTTTCGTATATACACATTCATTTCTCGTTCGTTCATTGTTCGTTTTATTTATCGATATTTATCGCATACATTGTCAGAATTGCGATCGAAGCACTGGCCCATTGTGACTTTCTTGATAGCTTGACTTTGCATATTGATCTGCTGTAAGTCACATGAAATTGTTGAGGGTGTAGATGTACGTCTTTCGGTAAACCTCAGTCAATCCTGATTTCCTGATAAAATTCCTGATTTCTTTTGCTGGAAATCCTGTCCTGATCCTGATTTCTTATGAAGGCCGCTGCGAGGTCTGAACGTGAACATCGGAAATGAAAATTTTGTCACTATACTTTGAGATGGTTGGTATTTGATAACAGTTTTGTCCAGATCGAACTTATATTTATCAAGATAGGTTTCTTATAGGAAGGGTCTTGAAATCACATTCATCTACTGACTATTGGGCAAAAAAAATAAATACAAATAAAAAATCACGGAACTAGGAGTGAAGGGAGAAGTCAATGAACAGTCCGAGGAGGAAATGATGACAACAGAGCCACCATAATTATCTAGATAATTGAATTTAGTAACTAGATTCATTAGAGGCTAAAACAACAAGTTTTATTAACTCTATTTGGTATATTTATTTAGTTAAAAATAGTGGTTGACCAATACCAAATTTTTTCGAGTGTTCGGGCCAAAGCTTTTCCTTCACCTACCAATCCTGAATAATGTTTCTGACACGAAGGCTAAATATGATGCTGTCAATTCAGAAAGATAGCATGATTTTTGTTTCCCTTCTTTTCGGCATGATTGAATAGAACTCATCGACTTACCTCGGAAGAAGCCAATTTAAGGTTTTTTAACTTCTTTTTTGGATGAAAAAATTGAAAAATACTGAACCGTAGGAAAAACGGTAATAGATGTTTTATGATACTGTGTACACCGATTTGCTCTTATCAATATATATAACTGAATAGTAGTCAAGTACATACGCAAACCAACTATAGGACACTTGTGACATAAAAAGAGATGATCTGGAGTAGGGGTGTTAGTTTAGTTTTATTGTTCATTTATAACAATGGATAAATATAAATTCGTCATTTGCGTCATTTGTATTTGAATAATAAAGATAAATAAATGGAAAAAATTAATTTTTATAAAATAAAGATAAGATAAAGAAATAAAGATTTTATTTTATCAAATATATGCAGTAGATGTGGAAGACCACAGAATTTGTTATTATTCAGATAAAGTACTTTGTGAATTAAAAAAAAAATTTCCAAAATTAGCTTTCCAGACTTAGTTTTCAGTGGAAACTAAGAAATAAATTGTTTTAGAATTTCGAAAAGCGACCAAACATGCAATTTTTCCTTTTCTTTCAAAATTTCCCTGCTTTCCCTGCAGCTCAAAAGATCAGTATTTTTCAATTTTTTCATCCAAAAACGACGTTGAAAAATCTTAAATTGCCACGAGAACGAGCAGCACGAACAACAACGGTATCAGAACTGACAACAGTCGAAAAGATTTCCTGCCCAGACAGAAAACATTCGGCCAACCTAGATTCACCGAGTTTTTTTTCGACTCTATGGAACACGGCCCAGGGGATCGTATCACAAAAAAGACAAGTTGACGATTTGTTTACTTTTTAAAAGCGGCTGACAACAGTGACAAACTTCGGATAAAAACCCGCAAAATAACGAAATATTTATTCTCTAATCCTTCGAATGTTGTTTTCGTCGAATTGTATCGTTAAACGCTTGAGCTATTCGAAAAATGTGTCAATGACTTAAGTTTTCGGTCTTAACTTTAAGACTACATTTCCCATGACTTAAGTCATCCTTTGACTTAAGCTTTTTTGTGATACGACCCCCAGAAGTCTAAAAATCCTGATTACGCCATTCTAGCAAAAGTCTATATACGCGGTGATAGGCTCGTGTCACTCTGTGTTACTATTTCGTATCTACATCAAAATCTGTGAGAATGAGCTAAAAATATCCGAATATATCTGTTTTGAGTTGCTTTGTGGTACGGTGCAAAAAATTCAATGAAATTATAGCCAGAATCCTATAAAATTTTATTGATACTAAACTCAGCAATTGTCTTTTTTCTGTTTTCAACATTTCCAAAGGAGCATTGTGATCATATTCTGATTTTTTCAGGTATCACTGCGTATATAGACTTTGCTAGGTGCCTCGAACTGTTTTAATAAACAAACGCCGTCATGAAACTCGACGTGTTTGACTACCTGCGTTCTTGTCGTCTCTGGTATTTCTACCGGTTAATCTATACTAGTATACCTAGGTTACCCTCATCAACAGAATTTTGAATAGAGAATGATCGTTGTAGTCTAAGTACTTTTCATATCCATAGAAAAAAACGTTGAAAAAGTTTCGGATCAGCGGCGACGGCGAAAAACTTCAAAAACAAGTTCCGTCCATGACGGCGCCGGTGACAGCGACGCGGCTAACACCTTTAGTCGGTAGTCCATACATTTCAGCTAAAGATTGTGATTCTGTTGTTAAAAGTTTTACAACTCAAATTTACCCTCAAATTTTTTGTCAATTTCCAAAACTATTTAACTCACCATCATTTTTTTTTAATACATTTTTTGGAGCGACACGTAGACCACGATATTGCTAGAAAAAGATTAAAGAAAAAATATGCCTGCACTCCACATCATAATCATAGATTCCATCTCAAACGCTTCAATAATTTTCCTTACCGGCCTGGTCAAGAAAGTCATGGTTCATGAAGAAAGCTGATATTTTGTTTTCGCTTTCTCTGCAGCTTGTTATATCTTTGGTTTCTGAAAAATCTTCTAATCTTTAGTTTTTTATTTCAAACAACTGCACTTCATGATAGCGATATCGCTCCTATTCTTAAACATATAGTTTTATGTGGTACAAATAAGTTTTCCTGGCCAAGATCCATAATTTTTATTAAAATAACAAATAACTAGACGGCGATCACGCCAGCGAGAGTTGCAAATGCGGTGCGAGGCAGGTAAACATGATAACCGGAGGTGCAGATTTTGTTGAATAACATACAGCAGCCTTACTACATAACTGATGAAGAAAGTGTAGATTACCTGCATAACAAAAAAATGTTTTGATTACTGAAGTCGGGAAGGTTGTGAAGTTCAAATAATGATTTAGCAGTCTAAAGCTTTAACCTTTATCATAGGCTAGAGATTTTATCTTACATACTGCGTTAATCACCTTTAAAACAGTAATGCATTTAGACACCAGGCATTGCGTTAATTATTCACTGAATACATATAAAAAAAAACATTGTCATGAAATGAATCACAGAGTATGGGAACGTACTCTCTTATAAATGCACCTGCACATGAATGACTCAGATTAATTAGCGATGTCTTTTAAAAAACAAAATTACAAGTACCAGGCGTTCAAATCATGTACTTCGAACGTCCTAACTCTCTACTGGAACATCTGCAAAGACTGAAAACAGCTTATTTATTAATTCAGTCATAAAATCATAGTTCCCTATTTGCTTAAAATTTTACTGCACCCCTTCTAGTTCCTGAGAAAATCGTTACAGAAAATGACACTTTTTCGATCTAGAAAGAAAACAGTTTATTACTATAATGTGGTATTGCTTCGCATCGCATTAACAATATCGTCACATTTATGAATGCATTCACACGTTAGAAAATAAAGAGTATACTGTCTTCGTCTCCAAATCCTGATATTGAATCAAAATGCATTAAACGAAAATGAACGAAGAATATAGTCCGAGAAGGAACAATGTGAAAAATAAATATTTATTAATCAATTTGAAAGTGAACGTAATATATATGCACAAGGTGAATGAATGATTCTTTTGATTATATACCTTTATATTATTTGTATTGTCTTTAATATCTAATGTGACCCTGAACTTCAGAAAACGTCAATAAGCGCCACAGATTGTTAATTTATTATTTACATTGACTTTGTTTAGTATATTTCATGTTTTTTAAATGAAATTATTTTTATCGATTATATTGTTTTATGTTGATTAGCGTAAAGTTATTAATTGAAAACTTATTAAATATATAATTTCATAATATAGAACTAACCTATTTCATTTTTTCATGGATGTTTTTGATAATAATTTAATGCATTTTACGAAGCAATTCAGCTGTAAAGAGCTCATAATTTAGGACTATAAAAGTTTCCGTTACTTCTTCGGCCGTTATCGACAACGCTAACTGAAAATACAGTTACCGTTGAAATAACGGTAACGATCAGTTAGTTAACTTTGTGGTAACTATTTTTTAAGTATGGCAGAAATATCCACGCAGCGGCTTAAAATGGCTTCCAAAATCATTAGTTTTCCACTAAAACTGTTGAAACTTTCATAAATGCCATGGTTTTGTAGTCTAATTTCGTTGATGAAAACAGAAAGGTTTCTCAAGCTGGCTGTAGATGTTGATAGTTGATAGAGAAGATAATTACATGTAAAGTCTGAAGTTGTTTTGGCTATCGGATTAATAAGCGAGACATTGACAAAAGTGATTTTATCTTAACCATTTTTTCAGTTTTATATGAATATATAGATATGCGTTTTTATACGCCAAAAATATGTGCTAGTTTTATATAGAATACGTAGTATTTCACGTTACAGGTGAACAGTCTTCTCATCCTTGATCTAATAGGTCATGTACATTAATGATGGATAGACGTACACACACACCCTTCAGTTCTTTGTTTCTATTTGTATCCTTGTACATTCTCTCTCATACATGTTTTGCCTTTGTTTATAAAATATAAATACTTTTACAATAACTAAAAAGAAAAATGTTAATAATTAAACATAAAAACATTGTTCGATGCTAAATTTCCTTTATTACCAGAAATGGATCCGAATTCAACATCAAATGATGAATGGCAAAATTCATTTGATCGATTTTTAAGACAGCATGATCAACAGCAACAACCACTATCAACAACACTCCCTCTTAATAATCAGCGAATGGATGATTTATCGTTTAACTCTCATATCAATGATGTATGGGGACAACCTAGACTTATGCAAAATAATGAATTTAATATGTTTAATGATTTTTTAAACAGTTCTCATTATACGCAACAACCACCACCAATCGGTATCCCTACATTTTCTTCGTCATCATCGTCGACGTCAGATTCATTTTTACAACAACAAAACAACAGGCAGCCAGCAGCTAGTCTTCCTTATCATTCTCCAGACTCATTTTTACCCATATCTTCAACTTCAAATCGAAAAATTCGTACAACACCCGATAATAATTTTGATTTCGGTTTACCTCCATCCTCTCCTCCCACGTCATCATACTTTAAATCAATGCGAGCTTCGCCAACTTCAGGAACAGGAAGACGTCCTTTACCACCTACTATTCCCAGACTTCCACGACGTAGTCCACCTGGTATGATCATTCCGTCTCATCAAAAACAACGAACTCCACCATTGTTACAAGTTTCAAATGATGAAACAGCTCATCTTCAACAACATTCAATAACACAACGAGCAAAACAAAACTCACCATTATATGTTGCTTGTATTAATCATGGATCCAATCATAACGGTGTTCTTGGACCTCCTGTTCTTTTACCACCCTCATTTTAATACTAAGTTTTCTCGTTTTATTTATTAAACATAATTTTCTCGTTTTTAACTGCTCTATCATGACTTGTGCTATTATTTAAACATTTTTTCCAAAGAAATGAATTTAAAATCAGAAAACCTTTATCTTCAATAAAACGGCTAAACTAGTGAAGAATATTATTCACCATAGTGTGCCGTTAAACGTCACATTCGATATTACAAACATTGAAGTGCAACTGAATTATTCGGTAGCATGATAGTCCATTTAAAATAGAACATTACAAAAAGGTATATCAGTTAAAGAAGATAAATGAAGGTAGCAATATTTTTTTTTCTTTTATTTGTTAGATTTTTTTTCATCCCATTGTTTTGATCGAAATATTGATGTAATTTTCGAACTATGAGAAGATATGATAATGCATCTCACGTAAGTAAAATCAGTAGAAAGGAAAGGTGTCAGACACAATTTGAATTTTCTTTCAGAAATTATTTTCTCACTCGGCTCTAGTACCGGAGTCAAAAAGCAGTGCACTCGGATGTTTTTTGAATAACGTTAGATCGGAATGAACTAGAGAGGTCTGGTTCTCACTATTTTTAAGTAAATTTATGGGGCTATCGAACGACTTAAAAATGATCTGAAAACTACCAGTTTCAGGTGATGTACCTTCTCGGACAAAATATCGCCGCGGACAGGATTCTAAATAAAATTTTTGTTCTAAATTTACATCTAGATAGAGCAACATCTGCTCTACAAAACTAAACACGTCCGAGGCCACTGTCTTTTTTCGTTTGGTAGCTATAGGCATTTAACTGGGAACACCTGAGCAGCCTCGAGACCGACCATTTTTAGGGTTTGGAGCATCAGTAATATATGTAGACATAGGTTTTCAACTATACTGATTCTCGTGGCGATGTTTGTTTTTCGTGAAAAAGTTCAAAAACCTAGTGAAACCTTATACTAGGTGAAACCTTTCTAGCTCATTCCGATCAAACGTTATGCAAAAAACATCCGAGTGCACTGCTTTTTGACTCCGATACTAGTAAACAGTTAAATAGAAATAAATGTTTATAAACATTATTGATAGATGTGACATATGATTGTATAAATAATGTTGTCGTTGAAACAATGCAAGACAATAGCTCAAATAGTTAATCATCATTCAATTATGTCAAAAAGTAGATCAAATAATGATATATACACGAAGAAAAGCATCGATTAGCCAGATCAAAATATATGAGTGATTCTGGTGGTCTTTGTACCGTTTTTCAAGAAAAAAAATGACTCAAAAATGAAAATGACCAGAAAAATATTTTAACACTGTACGTTTATAGAGAGTACTCGAAAGTCTATAAAAAGAATCAGTTTCCAAACTACTACGTCCTTCTCTGTCCAAATCCTGGTTGTTCACTTTTTGACTCAGGATCGAAAATACGATTTTCTCGGCTTTAGAACTAAAAAAGCATAACTGAACATAAAAATGTATTGAAACATAGGTTTTCATATATAATATGCTCTATTAACTGACATGATTGAAAAAGAATTTTTGACAATTTCTAAGCTTGTACCTTTAGAAAACCTTTGCTGTACTGATTTTCAAAAAAATGAGTCAGCCATTCGATTCAGGGGGTCAAAATACGTATAATGTTAAAATTTCAGGCTTTATGAGTTAGCCGTTACAATTCCACAGATGTGTTTGGAAATGGGACAAAAGTTAGGGGTGGGACATTCTGATGTATTTTTGAATTTTCTCTCCTGGTGAGTAATCGATAGTCTTCATATCTTTAGACATTGAATGGTTAGCCTATTTCGCACACGGAGTAAAATAACCATGCCTCTAGGTCGCGTATCTTGCTCACAAGAAGCTTAAATGGGGATAGGACGATTGAGTGTCCCATAGTAGGCCTGGCCAATAAATTATCGCTCGTGCAAAGATGGAAGAGTCTAGAGAATTACGATTTTTACCAATGGATAGAATATATGATTCTGCATAACTTCAGGCAAAAAAAACTAAGTGATTGAAGCCTTGTTAACTGAACTGCAGACCCAAAAGGGGGTGAGGCACGGTTTTTCATTTTGGAGGATCACAAATTTCATCAAAGTTTTCACAGAAACTAAAAAAGATTTGACAAAACTAAAATTGCAGATCGACAGAGCAGATAAAATACTGCACAAAAATGAAAAAAGGCTTTGTTTCACCCACCTTAATAAAAGAAAGATATTAATTAAGAAAAAAGAACGTGCAGTAACTATTAAGAAAGAAGGCAAAAAGAACCCAAAAACTAAGTGTTTTGCTTTCTATACACTACTGAAATAAGACAGAAAAGAGATCTTAGCAGAATATATAGAGTAAAGTGTCAGAAATAAAATGGTTCTAAAAGTTTGATTTAGTATTAACGAAGAACCAGGCAGGTCCATGAGTTCGGATCGAACGGTACGAAAATCACTAGAATCATTCATATGTGGTACACGAAAGTTCATGCTAACTCTGCTTAGAGGTTCATTCATGCTGAATTCATTTCTTCCACTACGAGTGCTAAACAATTAGAAATAGATCTTGAACGTTTGCCGAATCATCAACCGAATAAAACATACAGCACATTTTTTATGTGCCATACCGTATTACACCTTTTATTTTGAGTACGTAATAGAAGACAGTACCTATACACATGAACATCAATCAAAGTCAGCGCAGCGATAATTTTCCAGGCAAATTTTGTCCAAAGCAATATTCAACAAATATCTTCATGAAATGGCGGCAGGGCATATGTACGTAACAATTCTTATTCATTCTTTTCATACACATAACTAATTCTCATTTGTGTATGCGCTCTATATGATAAAAAACAAAGTACTTTTTGTTGTCAAACATATGTTTCAGAAATAAGTTGTTCTTACGATTTGCTGTTCTAAATATCCATTAGACAATATACATTTCTCGACAATATTTAGTCTAAATAATCTCAAACTCTCACTATATCAGTGAGTGATGAAACAATGATCAGTGGACTGATCTTCTATAGTGATATGAATGCACCTCAAACTTCAGTGTAGTCAACTGAAATTCAATGGATAAAATTCTAAAATTCCGACTAAAAAGATGAAAGATTTTATTTATAAAAGAATAATTTTTCGGCTCATGAGCCGTTAAAGAGATATTTGTCAAGACATCACCCTACGTTGCAATAATACAGCTCTCAAGTAGTGTCCTCAGCGAATATCTCTTTAACTGCTCATGAGCCGAAAAATTATTCTTTTATAAATAAAATCTTTCATCTTTTTAGTCGGAATTTTAGAATTTTATCCATTGAATTTCAGTTGACTACACTGAAGTTTGAGGTGCATTCGTATCACTATAGAAGATACACTGAAACATCAGATCAAAGGAAGTTATTTTCAATTATAACCACCTTCTTCTTGGTTCCCAAAATAGTAACAGCTAACTACTATCCATTTCGAAATGGAAGAAAATTCAATGTTTTTCGAATAACGTTGCATAGATGAGAGATTAAGATTTGCGTTTCCCGACTTTCTGTAGTCAAGACATGAATAATCCTCGAATCATAAACGTAACCGGTCAATATTTTCTCGAGCGGGCCGGTAACCCGTTCAAAAATTCCTGTGCCGAGCCGGGCCGGTCGGTTGACCGGTCATACATTTTCGTTTGGATGGTCGAAACAGTTTTTGACACCACCCCGAAGTCTGTATCATTAGAATTGCAGAAGAAATCTGGGAAGCACGGACTTACTTTTTGACCCTTAATGTTAAGATAACTCTTGGAAATATTTCGAGCTCAACTTTTTACTGTGGATTGTCCAAGGTCAGATACATATTCAGTGAAAATTAATTACTGTGCTCTCTCTTCAACCAGTATTACCGCCGCTAATATATTATTGTGTTGAAAAATAAAAAAAATAAAAATAACTTCTTCTATCTCGTCATCATCATCATCGTGATTCATCCATTATAATTAGATTAAAGTGAAGAAAAGCAAAAGAAAAGGGAAAAAATAACAACAGAACAGACAATGACAGTAGCAGGAGAACATTATGATCAATTGATTGACGATGACATTCAAAAGATGGCGATGTTAGAACAGTTAGAATGGATCAGTAATGGGGGTGGTGGAGGTAGTACGCTAGTTTTGGATGAAAAACCTGCCGGTGGTGGTAGCTGCTCTCAAAGAGTGTTTTATCTTGCAATACTCTTCGCACAAAAGATCGGTTTATTCGTCACTGTTGGGCTTTCCAACCCAAAACCATCACTCACCGTCGGAACCGTTGGCTTTTGTGAGATCGACGCCGTTTCGCCGTCGTATGTCGATTCATTTCAGTTTGTACACTATTATGATTTTACAACTTTTTTTCAGAATTAGATTTAAATTCTTCAGTTCCTTTTGTTTGTTCTGTGTTGCTATGAATTTTTTTCCTGTCTTTGTCTGTGTCTGAGAGAGTGAGTTAGCGCGAGTGTGTAAGTGTAAAAACCTAACTGCACAGAAGTGCTAAGGCTTAAGGAAAAACGTCTATAGCTCCCGAATCATGGATTTTCAAGATGTCCCTTAGATCCAGTTTTGTGGAGAACACTTTGGACTATATATGTATGAAAACAAATCCATAGATTTCTATGTCAGCTTTCAGCGAACCGAACTGGTTTTCCCCAGATCTTCTGAAAAAACCGATCTTTCAAATTTTTCTAAACTTGTTTTTGCTTATGAAAAAATAGCCTCAGATCTTGGCTAGCGAATGATGAAAATCATCAAGTCTCTATCTTTTATTCCTCTTGTGTTATTCAAAACATAACCACCGGCCTTGTATTTTAGCGCCAATAGTAGTGCAACAAACATTAAAAAAGAAAGAAAAACGAATGGAATATTCACAAAGTAGAGATTACCAGTCCTACCCTCGAGGACTGTTGACAAAAAAGAGAAAACCAAACTAACTTTCTTAATCCGAAATATGAAAACCTTTGTTCTACTTAGCTCAGCAAATTCGTTTTCGACAAAGTGCTGATTTTTCAGACGTAAAAACGTTGTTTTCCTCGATCGGCTGATCAATTTAATTTTCTTTCGGCCAGTCGGCCGACTGACTGGTCAAAAAGTTAGACCGGACCGGCCGGGTGCCGGTATCGGTTACATCTCTGCCTCGAACGGACGCAAGTATTCTGCCTTTGTGTAAAATAAATTTCAGTTCAGTTCAGTTCAGTTCAACACTTGTTTGCCTGCACAAAATAGATTCCCCGTCCACTTGTCTAAATTCCCTTAACTGAAACCCCGTGCAGGTATGGAAAATGCATCAGATGGCGCTGCCTTTGTTGGATTTTTGAATCAGGTTACTTTTGGAACCCATAAAGGCTTCTGATGAAGACAGCAGATTCGGAAGCCACACACCGAGAATCTTTTTTAATGACGTCGAACTCTCATAATGTATGAAGCAGGAAGCATGTGTCTACACAGAAACCAAATATTCCAAAATAGTATTAATCATATTAGTCTACACATTTGAGTAACTTAGTGGCCGAAGAAAAACAGAAACATAAATCTTTGTTTTCATTTTTGGTTCTATGTGTGACGTGACATAAGAATAAAATGCGTAGCAATCAATGAGGAGGTTACTGCACAATAAGATGATTAAAGAAATAAAGTGTTTTAGCCTTCAATCAGCTATTTTTTCAATCGTTTTCTGAACAAAATCTCGTTAGGAAATCTCACAGCGGAGGTGGGAAAAACGTTACCGGTTACGAGTTGCAACAGCATCAAGTACGAAGTAAATACGAATTCAACGGCACTCGTTCTTTCTTTTTCTCTTTGTGTGTCTGTCTGTCGCTCACTCACATGCCTACGTTTCTCAGTCATCCAATCATGACAAGAAGTTCTCATCAATGATAAAACTCAGTGGAAAAACACACATAGGTTTTACAATTAGCTCTTTGATTACTGTTATGATTGTGGGATTTGTTTTTCATGCTACGCAAAAAAAATGCTTTTTGTTGTCAAACATATGTTTCAGAAATAAGTTGTTCTTACGATTTGCTGTTCTAAATATCCATAAGACAATATACATTTCTCGACAATATTTAGTCTAAATAATCTCAAACTCTCACTATATCAGTAAGCGATGAAACAATGATCAGTGGACTGACCTTCTATAGTGATACGAATGCACCTCAAACTTCAGTGTAGTCAACTGAAATTCAATGGATAAAATTCTAAAATTCCGACTAAAAAGATGAAAGATTTTATTTATAAAAGAATAATTTTTCGGCTCATGAGCAGTTAAAGAGATATTCGCTGAGGACACTACCTGAGAACTGTATTATTGCAATGTAGGGTAGTGCCTTGGCAAATATCTCTTTAATTGCTCATGAGCCGAAAAATTATCCTTTTGTAAATAAAATCTTTCATCTTTTTAGTCGAAAATGGAAGTAAATTGGATGGTTCATTTATTTATAGTCGTGTAATAGAAGAAAATTCAATGTTTTTCGAATAACATTGCATAGATGAAAGCTTAAGATTTATGTTTCCCGACTTACTCTAGTCAAGACATGAATAATCCTCGAATGGAGGCAGAAATCAGTGACCAGTCTACATCTCGTGACAATGTTTGTTTTAGGATAAAAGTGAAAATATCTGATCATCATATCACATTTTAGACCATTGCTGTATAAAACAGTCATATTTACATCAAAATCAACTACTAATTACTGAAAGGCAGAACTTTCAGAAGTAGTCGAGGTATTACTTACATATGCGTAGCAATAAAACATTGAAACAATCTGTTTTTATTCAAAACAACTTTTAGAAATGCAATCTGCCTCTACGTAAATGAGCTTATGGGTAGTGCATTCTTTTGTTTACTTTCAACCTTTTCAGCATAAACCGTTCCTTCTGCTGTTACATAAGAACAATCTGGAAAGGCCAATTTTTTTATTCATATCTTATCTAGAGAAAAAATAAATAAAACAAAATTTTTCAACTGTGCAAAACAGACATAGTCGTTTGGTTCGCCCGATGTGAGCTACAAAAAAAAATATTGTACAAAAGAATATAAGAAATTGAGCAAATACCATCAAATAATGTACATAAACACACACACACATACACAAAATCAATCAATAAAAAAATGGAAAACAACAACGAATTATATAGGAGTAGTAACTAGAAACTAGAAAAAAAGCGCTTGATCCACCGGTTTGTATAAAAAGTGTAATTATATATTTTTTCTACTGTTCATAAATGAAAAATGACAAAAGGAAAAGAAAAATAATAACAAAAATTTAAGTTCAGTTAGTGTGTGCATACACAAGAACGTTCTATTTTCAGACATGTAATGACGAAAAATAAAACATAGAATGAATATAAATTATATATTTCAAAATAATTTAGTACTAAGAATCGGCTCAGTCTTGTCAAGAATACGGAATAGAGAGGCTCTTGAATAATGCTTGTAACGAATATAGAATATGAATGTTTGAGTTAAAAAGATACTTTCCAATTACATTTTGTCTTGATAAATAGAGTTTTTTTTTTCTTCTCATACTATCTACTGTTTTGCTGTTGTTGAAAATACTGATAATCACTTATTAATGTACGTATTCGTGTTCGGTAAGCTAAACTGAGACCACGTTGCCAAAAACGCACCATTTCTAAATCTGATGAATTTTTTAAATTTAATATATCAAGTAATTGTTTATCAGACAGGTTTTGTTTTGAACGCAAGCGACCAAGTTGAAATAATAATTTTGATTTACTAAACGATCATAAAATATATTTAATACAACAGTTATTCAACATGATTAATAAATATATTTCTTACTTTAAATATTTCATTTTGTGATAAACAACAACTGATTCAAATGCTTCTGTTTCCATCGTTGTATCAGATAATAAATCGATTACAGTTTTAATATAGGATGGTACTAAAAGGAAAAACATTTTGTTTCTATATTGTTGAAAAATTTTTGTTTATATAATTACCTATGAAATCTTGTACAACGGGCGTTTCCATTTTGACTTCTTGAATATTTTTATCATCATTATCAATAGTTATTTTTAGTATCACTAAACTATCGGTACTGTTGTTATTATTATTTAGTGGTATATCACTGTCACATGATGGAGATGTATCACTGTCTAAGACTAGAATATTTGCTGAACAAGACAACACGTATGCTGATGATTCAACCAGACGACAACAACCATCTGGTAACAAAAGCTGTAAAAAAAGAAAGAAGAGAAAATAAAATCATAATAACAAGATTTGTTTTAATTCAAGTAATGATTACCACTTACTCTCAATAGACAGAGAAATTGTCTAATTGTTTCTTTTGTCTTCATTTTACTCGAATATTTGATAATAATCTGATTTCCAATGCATAGATGATAAAGAATGTAATGTACATGTTTTATTTGATTAATTTTTTCCATAAATTGTTGAAATAATCTTAATGCATCATTTGCGCAAGTCGAAAAATCATATTCTTGAGAATTGTTGTCACTATATAAATCAACAGTTAAATCATTCACTGCTAATATTGAATTACCGATTTGTGATGATGGAATAAAATTAACAAGAGTTAATCGACGTCGAGTTATGGCAGTTGGTGAAGATGATGATACTGGATCAGAAGAATCATCGAGTACCTCTGAGAAAATAATCGATCCACTTAGTTGTTAAACACAAAATAATGATAAAAACAGAATGACAAACACCTCTTTCGTTTTTAAAATTTAGATGACTTTCTAATCATTATAGAAAGAGGTAAACTATTACTGCTGCTCAAAACAAGCAGACAGATCGAAAACTGAAACTAACCATTAGCTTTCTTAAACATCATAGTATACCTTTTCTTTCCATTTTCGTTGTTTCTTCTTCGGTTGGTATGGCATCAAATAGGTTTTCTTGAATAGCCCTATTTGTCGATCGCAATAACCATACGAAGAGTGAATGTATTCTATAGGTTATATGTTGATCATGTGTGATTTCTGAAAGTGCCCTATTTTTAGGCACATGAGGTAACACTCTATAAACGTATGCTGGTAATGTTGTTATTACATGACCATATTTTTCAGATGAAAGTGTTGATGGTGTCATTTGATCTACTCCTTTAATTCTTGCTTCTTTTTCATAGGTCAAAGTAGCATCATTTTGCATCCATTTAGCAATTTGTTTCATATATTCGGTAATAATTGGTAGTATAGATATAATATAATATTTATCGGATGTCAAATAACAAAGAGAATAGAGATGTTGATTACCACGAGCGTGAAAATCTTTTATGGAGAATGTAAACGAAAGACAGTAACCATTTTCATCATCACCAAATAATACACCTTGATCAATATCAGCCGCTCTCTACAAAATAAAAATAATAAATGGACCAATAATCTCTTTATCTAATTAATTACAATGGTTAGAAAACAAAATAATATTCAACATATCGTAAACTTACTTCACAATTGAGACTTCTTAAACATGCATTTCTTCCGTTTTTATATAATTCTTGATTGTTTGGGTTTGGTGCGGATATAAATAGAAGATGACAATCTGGATCAATTGACGAAACAAGAATAGAATCAAGTGACAATGTACAAGACTAAATAATATTAAAAAAAAAGAAATCAAATTATTGCAATTTTTAATAATTATTTATTTTGTTACTTTGCATTCTGGTTTTGTAATTAAATTTTCTGCTTTGGTATATTGCGAATAAAAAGTATCTAACAAGTCATCATCATCAGTATCATGGATATATCGTGTTTCTGTACAAAGTAAAATAGTTGGTCCATGTAAATCACAAAAATGATGCAAAAATACAGAAGCATTCATACAGACGCAGAATAAAGTGGTGTAAGCGTAATGCGATGAAACAAAAAGCACGTTTATATCTAGAAAGAAGGACAAATGTGACAAATAACATCAAATTCACAAAAAATTATTTTATAGAAGATCATTTAAGAACAACCTCGACAACATGTAATTTTTGTTGTCATATTTTTATAAGACACGAATTACCAACTAAGAATAGTTAAAAACATAAAAAAAATATCATCCGAAAAGATTTCGAAGGTCTGTAATTTACAAAAGAAATCAAAAAATAACATTTAAATCAACGAGCCATAAATGGCAGAAATACCCCTAATGGAATCAGCTCAGTGTTGAAATGTTTTCTCTAGCATGAGATATGTCTCTTTACATATCCACAGCTGCAATGTAATAGCGTCAGTTCAAAAAAATAGTAGCAACACACTAAAAAAATTAATTCAAATAACTATTTTGTTCGATTTTCACATTATCTTGACAGCTTAAATACAGCCCTCATCTAAACCTGTCTTATATGAAAACTTTATGTTCTACGTACTATTGGTTACTGTAGAATATTTCCGAACAAAATTGTATAGATAAGCAAAAAATATATATAAAATTCGATGTAAATGTAATCAGTTCAATATGATCGTCAGTTTTTACACAGAACATCCAAACTAAGAGCGATGGAGGACGTTGATGAAGAGAAATTCTAAGTGACGTATCTAAAACATTATACTTAAAATGTTTTCTCAGCTAAGAACAGAAAGATAAAATAATAGAGGGTTAAAAACGCAAACTAAAACACTACTTTTCTTGAAGGTCATGGGAAAATTCATCGAACAGAAACATTCATTAGTAGTAACATAATAGCAAAGAATACTCACAAGAATGCGTGACGTGACAGTTTTGTCCAATTGATTGATATAGAGCATTCTTTAAATATTCTAAAATTACTTTCTTCAGAATCGATGGCTAATATTTTCAATATAAGCAAAATATGTACTTAGAGTTCGCTCCATAAACTTTTCTACTTGCTATACTTCAGCAATTTTCATCAGCGAAATTCTTTAAAATCTTGCGCAAATTTCATTCATACTTTAGCATTACTTTTAGACCCTTGACTTTAGTCTTGTTGGTCATACAAAAGGATTGTGTTATGTGTGTCACATCTCTGAGCCGTTCGACTTTTGGATTCCAGTGTAGAGAGAAGCTCTTAGATATTAGCGCTAATGATCTGAACGAGGATATAAAGAAACACTATCGTTCGATGAAAGTATCAAAACATAATATAATCACATAAATGGATCGGAAAAAAAGGCAGACAGACAACGACTGATTTCACCGTGTTTTACCCGGTTTTTTCTTCGAGAATATGATGCAGTCAAGTTTATTAGTCAAACATGAACGTTTTAGAATTTGAACTTTCCAACATAGTAATTTTGAATGGCGATTACTTCCTCAATTATCTACTTTCCTACTTTTTCTTCTCACATTAGTGAACTATGTTTAATATGATTCTTTCGTAGGTAGATTCTGTTCAGAGGAAAAAATTAGCGTATTAGGTTACCATAAGTTCCTTTCCCACGTTTGTACATTTCTATTCTGATATTTTTACACAGTCATCATTGTTAAATTTAGTCTATACAAGTGAAGAGTTCTTGTATTTGCTGAACTAATTATCTGAGAAGACTCTTTTTGATCTCCGAAACTGACAGAACGGCAGCTCAGCTTTGTAACTATGCAAAAACTACGAAGAATTTATCTTCCCTAACTCTCACTCTCTTTCTGATATTGCTGTGTACTTACTTTGTAAATTAGTTAACTTTCGAATAATTCTAATTGAAAAGATCGAGAAAAGCAGATATGAACTGCAAGAAAAGTAGAATGACTGTCCTAGCACTAAGAGAACAACTGACTTAATTGAGGCTGTATATAAACACACAACAATTGTCCTTTTCTTGTTTTGTTTAAAGTAAGCAGGACAAACAAAAACAAGACACTCATATACAAAACACGTGGCTCTTGTATATATAAAGAGTATATGGAAAATCTTCTGTTCAATCAATCGCCTATAACTCACTCACTTTTCGATCAAATTAAATACAATAGGTTTTTCATTGTCAGATTCCTAAGACGCTTTTTTACATAAAAATAAAAAAAAATCCAAGATTTCTACGATGAAGCTATGTAAAGTTAAACGAGAAAGTTTAGCAAGAGAATAGTGAAGCATAACAACTCTGAACTCGAGAGATGGCTGTGCGAAAGAAGGGTGGAAGCAATGTTTTCGATATTGAAAACGTTCTCTGGCACATTGCATTGTCAGTGTATGAAATACAAATGAAGTCAAGGAACCAAGTGGAGCGCAGATGAACGTTACTTTGGTTTTATAACACGGCTCTCTACACTACATATAATATATATATATATCCGTTAACTTGACCTTTAGATGATCGGTTTATTTTCGTAGTGGTTGAAATTCTCGACCAATGAACGTTGTGTATAATGCCTTTTTGAGGACGTACCTTAACTACAGTAGTGGAACATTTTGTACTTATGCATTCAGCTAACATTTTACTAGAATATCGTGACTTGTTGTTAGATAAAAGATTGCAGAAGCCCGCAAAACCTTTTGAAGTCTACTAATAATTCGACCAAAGCTGTCCACGTTTTCAACATTTATCTTCATTCTATTGGTTCTTATCGTTGAGTATGTGTTCGTCTGCCCATTATACTTACGGAACTTATACTGTTTATGTATTTGTTTGTTTGCTTACATTGTTCAGACCTATTTAGTTGAATTTTTTTCTCGAAACTCCATCTAAAAGAAAGATGCTGTTTAAAACTTTTCTTATCCTATTTGCAACGATCACATTATCCACCTGTCAATTAGCAGATGAAGAAGAATCTTATTTATTTGTTACAAAAGACACATTAAATCGTTATGTTGTTCAAAATAATGATTTGACAATAAAATACAGTTTATTCAATGCAGGACAATCGTACGTAACTTAAAGAGAGTTGTGCTTTTCAGTGTGTTCGTATACGTACAAACATCACATCTAACTGCTGTGTGTTCCCGAAGACATTCTACTTTCTATATGCGGGAAGCTAAATAAAAGTGAGCGATTGTTTGTTTATCATATTTGAAATCTTTTCATACTTTTGAGACTTTTCTCAACAGATCTACAGATTTCAGAAATAATATGTTAATTCATTTGTACTGCTCATTAATTTCTGATTTTATGAAATCAATGATTCGCAACTTATGAAACAGATATAGTTCTTTCTCAGAGAATATTTATTGCTAAACATCTTTTTTTCTGTTGATTTAGAACTGTCTTCAGTGTTGAATTAAATGATGTTGATAGTTTTCCAACAAATAAATTTGATTTACTCTATGGAACATTGAATCCAAAATGGGAGAGAATCAATGCGTAAGTTAATTAATGTTAAAAAGTTCTAATAATAGACAATTTCTATGTAATTTCTTGCAGAGCATCAAACCTTACTCATGTTGTCATTCTCAGACCAAAACAAAGTGGACCATGTAATATGACTCATGCAGTTGTCACATATAGAAAAAGTGAAAAAACCAATGAGATTCAAGTAAGAAAACACTTGAAATACTATTAATACTAACGAGGATTCCATTGTATATTTCATGGTAAATTTATTATCACGTAATAAATATATAATTTTTTGTTTGAAAAAATCTATAAAGCGCTAGCAGAAAGAATGGCTCTCATAGTCGGAATCAGCATCATCGATTACATCGAATCATGTATATTTTAAGCAAATGGAAAAGACGACTGGACACTTTGGAGGAGGATTCCCGCGTAAGACATGGAGAACTTGAAGCCCGCTTAGAATCTAGCGCTCATTTTGTGTCATATATATTTGCTTGGTTTTTCTTACTATTACTCTACTGAAAAGGTTCCTTTTATTCTGTTTTAGACAGCGTATTCGTCGGAAATTGGTGAATTAACTGTTGTTTCTAGTCGTGAATACGATCGAAGATTTTCATCACATTTTGTAAGTAGCACTGAATATAGAAAATCACCCTTGAGAAAACATTTATTTTCTTTTCTATTTAAGCTTATCTAATATTTTTATTTTGCTATTTTAGCTTGATTGGATATTATTTACAATGATGGCTATTCCATGTATTGCATTTCCATTTGCATTATGGTATATGAGTAAAACAAAGTACGATACAATTTTAGCCAAGGATAAAGCAAAAAAACTCTGAATCAAATACTACTTTCACCATTACTCAGTTATTTTTGTTGTTTGTTATTTTCTCTGAGTCAAAAAATTTTGAAAAATCCTTTTTCGCTGTATGTGTGTGGGTAAAACGGTGACAGTTTGATTGTTGCTTTCGTTTATTCTATTCATTTTTTTGTCAAACTAGGATTGTTGGTTGTTGCTTTTTTATTTGGATTTAAAATTGTTGTATTTTCTCTTCCGATTGTTTTGTTTTTATTTTTTATTAAACGACTGCTCCTGTGGATAAATAGATTGACTCTATTTTGAGAGATAAAATTAATTGTTTCCAAAGCGCTCAAACTTGAACGAATATTTTTCTCAAACGAGCCGTTTTTTAACATCATTAGGATGCTTGGTTATATAAGTAATACACAATGAAGCGACTTGATCTTTATCACTGCAGAAGTATATCAGAGACAAACAGAGAATCAAATACCTTTTTTTCGAAATAAAAGTATAGTCTAGTCGTCTCATATTTGTATGTATGCCATTATTCTATTTTTGATGGATCTAAGCATCTTTTCGTAATGGGAAATCTGGACATCAAAATGTCTCATAGATTCATTATATTTTCAGTGAACCGAACGAGTTTTTTCAATGAAGAAGCGTGTCTATCATAACAAAATTGTAACACACCTGCTTTAGTTCCTTACTGACATAATTTTATTTTAACTATGATTTTAGATGTTTAATAGCAATACCTAAACAAGTGAATACTCTGTTCAAACATGATTGTTCGTTCGCCAAAATTGTATATGGGCAGTGCCTTATTTTTGGGCATATTTTCATTAGTATGTGATTTTCTTGGCTTTTCAACACCATATTGGATTCAAATTTGGCCAAGAGTAAATAAATAAGAACATGTTTACATAGATGCCTTAATTTATTTGTTCTGATGTTGTAGGTTGGTGATACAACATTTCGTAATCTAGGTTTATGGCAAGTGTGTATTGCTGGTTTTCGTAATCCGAAAAATTATTGGGGAAAAGTATTTTATGGTTGTTGGTGGCTATATGCCAGAGAGTATTATCAATTGAGACGAGATCAAATATTAACACCTCGTACGTATTTCAAAATAGTTTGCAGAAAGAAAAATATTCGTCGGTCGTGAGTTATCTACAGTGGCGCTCAAAATTATTGGCTCGCCTTTATTTTCAGTTTTCTCCTCATCCATAATAACTAGAATAAACTTGAAACAAGAGTTGAATATTCGAAAGAGTTTCTAATCTGATGTCAACAGCCGCATGCCACCCAAATCAGCAAAATTAACGGAAAAAGAACAAAAAATATGCCTTCGAGATTGTTGGTACATGAAAGGCTATCATAGAGAGCTCGTCGACGTCTCATTTTGTTTAGAAATGTTTCCTCTGTACAACGCAGCTGTTTACGAAAACATATCGGTAGAATTCGGAAACTTAGTTTCTAAGATTTTCGTTTTTCAAAGACCCGAATTACAAAGAATTTAATACAGTCTTTATACGCACTCACATCAGATTAGAGACTCTTTCGAATATTCAACTCTTGCTTCAAGTTTATTCTAGTTATTGAAGAAAAAAACTAAAAATAAAGGCGGGCCAATAATTTTGAGCGCTGCTATAAGTAAAGAAATAGCTAAATAAGAAGAACACAAGTAATAATACAATCTGTAAAAATGAACAAATCTAAATACAAAGATTTATCTTGACCGAATATGAATTAATTGTGTTTTTACTGTTTTTAGCTTGGTTTACAGCCGTTCAAGTGATGGCTTGTTTTGGCCTTATTTTTAACATGTTATCGGTCGTTGCAGTAATTGTTGTATCAATCACACGTTATCGTTTATCTCGACGTTCTATGTTTGTAGTCATAATATTAAGTGGTCTAGCTTGTAAGTAGAATATCTGATAATAAAGGGGTTTAATTTCTATCGTCATATATATATTTATGTATTCTAGGTGGGTTCAATATGATTTCCATTGCTATCTTTGGCCAATACTCAGATGCAATTGGTGGAAAATGGATGCCAAGACCTGATTATACATTTTTATCTTGGTCTTACATTTCAATGTTCGTATCAACATTGGCAGCATTCTTATGTGGTAATAATCAACATTTTTTGACTAAATAACTTAATTTAACCCTTATGTTGTCTTAGACGTGCTCAAAATTTGTTAAAACTTTTTATCTGAGAATCTGTTTTTAATTTGAAGAATATTTCGTTTATTTTTAGCATTATTCATGGGTCTGGAACTTTATTATGTAACAGAAGCGAAAAAGTATAATAATGAAAAAACTTTTATTCGTCATGTTGGTAACGATGATCAAGCATTTGTTCGTAAATCGACAAATGATGATCAAGCATTTGTACGAAAAGCTCCCGAAAATGAACAACCATTTGTACGAAAAGCTTCAGAAAATGAACAAGCATTTATACGAAAAGCTCCCGAAAATGAACAACCATTTGTACGAAAAGCTTCAGAAAATGACCAAGCATTTATTAGAAAATCAGATATGGAACAAGCGTTTATTCGAAGAGCAAGTGATCAAAATAATATTGTTTAAAAAGTACATTCGTTGTCTTTGTGCTTTTCACTCAACATTCCAACATAATTTTATTATTGCTCTCAGAAGTGTATTCAGCCTCATTATATTGTTTTTGATAGATCTTATTCTTCTCCATTGAATTTTCTTTTCTACTTTTTTTCATGTATATGAAACATCTATACTTTCTAGTTTAAGTTTTCTCTTATTTTAGACAGTTTCTAAGCCGTTTTCGGTTTTTAGCATTAGCATTCTGAAATGCTTAGCCATAGTTGACATACGTTTCTTATCAATTATATATTCTGTCCAATTTTTTTAATTTGTGAATAAACTCATTCCTTGTTGTATGTACATTACGAATGTTTTTTAGAACATTTTTTATACGATTTTTCTAAAACTTCTTTTACTTAACTATCTAATATGTGTCTTTTTTTTTTTTTTTGTATAAAATATTTTAATATTGCTCTTAACGAGTATGTATTGTTACTGACGTGGATATAATATTTATATATAAAAGTCGAGTAACGATTACAAAAATCTGCAGAAAAGCAGCAAAGTTTTGAATTTAAATTGAAATCTAAACCGTTAAAAATTAATTTCTAAGCAAAATCAATATCATATTCATGATCAGTATCAAGAACGATATCAGAACATGTGTTACACAAAGTTATATTAGAATATCAAAAATTTTCATCCAAAATTTCGCCTTTATTCCCTTTCTTCTAGGCGTTTTTTTTAATCGAAATTTCTCCTGAGAACTTAAAGAAAATCTTTTTAATCGAAAATTGTTTAGGACAATAAATATGTCATTTGAGTCCAATTTTTCTGCTAGTCATGAATATGATATTGATGCTGCTTAAAAACTGATTTTTAACAGTTTAGATTTCAATTTAATCTAAAAATATTTCTGCTTTTCTACGTTGCTTTTTTTATTGTCAAGTACTTTTCTTCACGTTCGCATGGAATTTACTTAATAAACTATACATATTCTAAAAGCTGACAAGAAATGCTATCTATCATTTGGTAAAAAGAATTGAAGAGAAGAAATTTTCTATCATTTCTAAAATTGAGCAATATTGTGATCAATAACATCACTTTTCCACTCATGTCAAAATATTTCTTAAAACATTTTCTTACCAAATCCTCCACCAAATGCCTTTTATATATCTTTCAAAAGTACTTTAAATTATTTTTGATTATGAAATTAATTTTAATTACAATATGCGTAGTGATAGTGAAAAAGTCTGACTTCTCCATGGCTCATTCTGCCATATCAATCATTTTATAATAGAAAAAATAAGATAGATATAGTGATTATGATAATGTTCTTTCATTTTATGCGAAACAATTTAAAAAATATTCGTGGGTGGATTTTTAAAGAAAAAGTTACTCATCCTTTATGCATAAATTTACAAATCGTTAGATGTACGATAAAATCCACAATGCAAGAAATTTTCGTCTTTGAAAATTTTGAAAGTGTTACAATTGAATTGAATTGAAATTTTATTTTACACAAAGGTAGGATATCACAAAAAAGCACCAAAAGGGCTTGTGGCATCCGGAGACACCTCATGATAACCTAAACTAAAAAGTTTCTAAGAAGAATCGCTACTATTATTATCGCTACAAAGAATTTTTCAATCAATAAGACAACTTCAGACGATCTAAAACTAAATTAAACTGCTTATTTTCCTAGTAATGGGGCTTGCACATACATATTACAGATGACATCGAACCGAACAAAAACATTAGTCTTTCTGTCTAAAAGTGATTTCTTAAGCAAAGTAATGGTTTTATTTATAAGTCGTATGGTTAGTGATTTGAATTATGTCTTGTTGACATTGATTGTATTTTATGGAATTCTTCTTCTTTATTTTGCTTGAATAAATTATTCGTGTTCTTTCTCTGAGGAGTTTCACTCATTCGATGTATTCACCATCCGTATAAGAATAGAATATAAGAGGGTGCGTGTTTTCGTGTTCTACATTGTCTTGCAGTCGCAGTTTCTTAAAAATTAATTGAATGACGAGATATTCTTTCTAGTTTTGCTTGAGAAAAACATCAATACTAATTCAGTAACTCTTTTTAATTTGAATGGTCTGTGACAGTTATTATTTTAGAAATTCAATCACGAGACAAGAAAAGATTAAAAAAAAGAGTGTACACACACACACACACACACACAAATATTATAGTAAGAAATTGAAATGATATTCAAAAAATTAAAATTCATTTCAAGTTATCTAGAAAAGATTAAAATCAAATTAATAAAAATTAACTGTTCTTGGTCATTTTTGAAAAATATTATGGAAGATAATAAACTAAAATCTGTATAATGATTATTGAATGATTGTCTTTCATTATATTAATATTAATTTTTAATTTATATACGTTTTCAAAATTTGACGGTCCACACGTCTAAGTTACATTTAAAATCGACAAAATATTTCTAAGTCGATCTTCTTTTCTTTCATTTATAAGAAATTTTCACCAATATCTAAGTACATCATACACCTACTTTTCAATGCCTAAATTTGACCTTCATTATTTTGTTAAACTATTGAAGAGCTACACTCTTGACTGTTTTCTACTATATAAATTTGAACTGAGAATTGTTTCATTACTTGCTCTTTTCGATGCAGTGTTATAATTATGCAGTACAACTGATGTCGATTGTGTTCGTCGTCTTCCACCGTCTCCCATTTTAATGTCATTTTCACCTAATGGACCTGGTGATAAATAGCCGCCACTCAAACGCATATCATATCGATGTTTTTTCTCATAATTTTTTCTATTCATGATGTATCGATACCATACATAGACTAGATGTTCATATGACTCTTTAATTGTTTCTATGCATGCTGTACGAAATTTTTTACCAGCTAAACAATAGAATATAAAATTTGTTGCACTATTCAATTGTAATAGTAATGTTGTTAAATTAGTTCTTAAAAAACGTGATTTTAATTTTTTAACATCAGGACGTTTTGGTGGATTCATTTGTAGAATATAATCGATAATTGCCGGTGTAGTAAATATGTAGAAACTTATTGATACACTGACTAACATAAGTGTCAATTGTGTTTGTTTTCGATTAAAATTAGCAGCATGTAAATTAATTGAAGCTTCTGGATTTATTAATGTTTTTTTTCTCATTCTTGATGCTAGCCATAATTCATAGATGACAAACAAATTTGCTAAAAGTAAAACATCAGGAATACAATAGAATATTATCGGTTTAACATAACGAATCATTTTTTGTGATTTTGCACGAATTATACATTTTTTATGCATAAAATCCGCTATATAAATAATCGGGAATGTTGAAGAGAAAAAAACAAATGCGAGAATTATTAAAGCATAAACATTATAACGAGCACGTTGCACCGTACAAAAACGTTTTGCTAGAAATGGTGAATGAACAGCCACACAACGTTCTAAAATAGAAAAAAATAACAACATTATATTCAGAAATAGATTTTACATGATGATAATAGTGAAAACTCACAGAATGAAAATAAATAGAGTAGATCACAAAGTCCTGCGAACTCATACAGAGCGAAAAAGAGATTCGAATTGAAACACACCTTTTAAATTTTTACAAGATCTACTGTATTCTTATAAAATTTTAAGATCTTTTAAATATGATTTTATGAAATTTTAGCATAAAAACGTAAAGATCTTCTTATGTCTTATAATTTTTTGTTATAAAAGTTTAAAAGATGAGCTTTCAAGAAGTAACAAGAGCTTACAGGATTATAAGTTAAGATTCATATAATTTTGTGAAATCGTGCGATAAAAATTACTGGACGATATGTATCTTTTTGTCACAAGATCTTATAAATATTTAACTTGTTGAATGGTAATAATTTCAATATAAATATGAAAGTAACAGCAGCTATTTTGAAATTTATTTTAATTTTATTTAATTACAAACTGTGTGATTTTCTACGTTTCGAAAGTACAACTTTCATGTTCATCGTTTAGACAAAGATTTTATTTTCTCCCTTTGTATACAACATATTTTATCTTGTCACTCTCTACATATTCACTATACTATTGTTCACATTGTTCACTAGTCCTGACTAACGTCTATCTAAATGTATATGTCTTCTCTCTCACTCTTCCTATTTATATCTGTTTTCTTCTCTAAATGTTTTACGATTATGGTTCTTGAAAATAAAAGTTGTACTGAAAATCACATGGTTTCTAATTAAATAAAATTAAAATGAATTTTAAAACAGCTACTGTTACTCTCACATTTATTAAGATCTTAAAAGATTTCGGAAGATCGATGCTTCACCGTATCATAGAAATTTTGCTGCGGTATATAGTATATATTAGAGATGGGCGGGATCGTTCTTGTACCGTCGGGACTTTAATCGGGACAGAGACTATAAATTTTAACAGGGCTGGAATTAAGACGAAGAATACTTTTGAACGATTCCTTGAGAACAGCCAAGAATTTAGCCATACTTAAATGGAGCTTTTCAAGAAAATCGTGAAGAAGTCTGAGAGTATTTTTCTAGGCATTGATCAATCCATCTAGTTCATTTGCTGTTTCATGGAAACTTCATTAAGCCACTAAACTCTTAAAAAGCACAACGAGTTTCATTTAAAACAAGTTGAACAAACAAGGAATAAATCTCTAGAATGATGTTACACAAGTATACAGTTCATTCTGTAATAATCGCAGTCCACATCACAGATTAGGAAGCTCCTGAACTTTTTCATGAGCGCAGTGCTTTTTTAGTGTTTTATGAATAAAATATAAGATAAGTTCTAGAATTTTTTTCTTTCTTTAAGTCTAGCTGAACACAAAGTAAAGATGATCCTAGGCCTGCAATATCCTATCTATGCTAAAAAGTATTAGATAAAGAGAAGCAAAAGGAAGCAGATGCTAGTGAGAATTGATAGTAGAAAGCAGGCAAATCAGCTTCGATTTTCCGAAAAATGTCTTATGCAAGTTTGCAAGATATCATAAGAGCTTAATTTTATGCACCTTGTGTAGGTTCCAGGATCTAGTAAAATCTTAGAATATAATCTTGCAGGATGATACCAGATCCTACAATATCATTTGACAAGATTCATTGACTTGAGCGATGAAAAAGAAAACAATCGATCTTATTGGATGTTTATGTATAAATATTTGTTTATATATTTAGTTTTTACACCAGAAAATGTTCTTGGCGAATTTGAAACTATTATTTGTTTACTGAGAAAAGAGTGTGTAGATGATACTTTGCAGAACTCTTTAAGCTTAAAAAATGATCACCTAGTAAGAAAGTGCTTACCTAGTGTGACGATGACCATTATCCAAACACTACAAAACGTAAATAAATCTGCTAAGTAAGCAAGAAGGCAGTGTAGAATTAAATTAAGCATATCTGATATTCCAATATTAATTACATGTACACTCAATACACAGATATCAAATATGGCTAAATAAGTGATGAACACGGACGATGATGTATCTCTTAGGGATCGACGATTAATGACGATTAACGCTAATAAATTACCGATTATACCACAAATTGCTATACAGACATCAGTAATTCTTATCCAAAAATTGACTTCGAATATGAATAACATAATTTCCCTACGAATTGCACTATCATTAAATTGAACTTTTACCGCGGACGACGACATTTCAGATAATGGAATAAGAGTTGTAGTATTCATTATCATTGACATTCTTTTCTTTTCATTTACAAAATAACTGGTATATAATAGAATGAATCTAAAAATTAATTTTCATACATAAATATATGTGGGATTCAAAGAGAAAAAACAATCTGCTGTATAGAGAAGTAAGAAAGAAAAGGAAAACAAATCTTTATGCATCTTTGTCTTTCAGTTTGTTTTAAGATGAAAGAGTGATCTCTATCTTATTATTGATCAAATTACTCGTAAAAGGATAAATGAGAAAAAATTTGAATATAGTAGAGTGCTAGACAGTAAACAAGAGAGTCATTGTTTTAATTTTATTACGTCTCATTCATTGATAATATAGAACATTCGAAATATAATGCTACTCACCATTCATAGCTCCTTATATACTTTTATCAGAACGGATGTGAGCCATTGAACAAAAGTAGCAAAGTGTGTAGTGAGTACAAGTATAAGATATGATTCCAAAGTCGATATTGATAAGTATTGTTGAATGAGGCTCTCTCCTACTTTCTAAAATGATAGAATTTTCTATTTACTAGAGGAAATTACATGGAAATGTACAGGATTTGGATATTTATGCCTGTTTTTCTCACACATCACGTAGTATTTGCATGTTTGTTCGATCACTATCGTATTTAAGAAATCAAAGTGTCAAACCTGTATTAGTCTATGGTCTTTTAACCTACTATATTTGTCAACATTGACACTAAGCACAATGGGTAATATAAGTATTTGTCTATGTCAAAAAATTTTGTTTTCGCGTTTTCTACATCATGGAAAATAGAACTCTGTTTGGCCTCAATCATTTTTTAAAGGCGAACAAGTATACGATCGATTATGATTTCTTGCTTTTGTAGGTTATACACTTTTGAAAAAATTTAATTACTCATCTAAGAAGTAACCAAAATTTCGTTTCAAATATATCATTAAAATAGAGTATATAACAATAGAGAGCTTAACTAGAATTAAGTTATTTACCGTCTTTTTTTAAAGATTTTTGAGAGCCAACTACTCCCGATTGAAATTGCTCTTTTCAAAACACTACATACAACAAAACGCTTGTTTCCTGACAAAGATTGCTTAAATACGGACCAAAAGTCCGGTGTAGTTTATCGAATAAGTTGCAATGATTGTGATGGTAAAAACATACGTCAGACGAGTCAGCTTGTCCGTGAACATGATAAAGACACATCAAAAGGTATAATGCAAATAACGAGTAATTTTCAAAAGTCAAAAGCTAATAAAAATATTTTGAAAGATTGTATTAACAAAAATTCACAATCAGTACAAAGTTTATGACGTATTCGTATCCCCAATAAACAAATTTTAACAGATAAAAATTCCAACTCTCTGTTCGATGATATTCTAGAATATAAACCTAAATCAGCTTTAGGTAAACACGTTCGAAAGACAGGCTATTCAATTCATTTTAATAAAGTAGAAGTTTTAAGTCCCGATCAGAAACCTTATCGGCTTCTTGGTAGAACATCTTTGGCTATATGTTCATATTCCGATCATTCAGTGCCACTGTACGTATTTCCTGAAGGTTTTTCAAAATTGCGTTATGTGAGAACGAAAAGAAAATCTCTCTCTCTCTCTCTATTTACTATTATCTTTGTTCAAGTAAAAAGTCGTATGTAAAGCGTATGATTGTACTCGATTTTTCTCTTTCTCTCTACTGTTATCGTGTTCCAGTAACTTCCCATATGTAAAACGCATGATATGCAAAAACTGTGCGACTATATATATATATATATATGTATAGTAGAAACATATGTACTTTTGCTCTGATTGTAAATATTTTTAGACTGTACTAATCAGGCATGTACCAATTCTTTTTGAAGATTATTGAAAAAAGTTACTAGTTCTAAGACTATTTCTTTTATATGTTTTTTGCATACATCAGATTGTTCAGCAGGTTTTTTTCTGCAAAATGAAGTTTGTATTTGCATTTGAGAAAGTGAAAACAAGAAAAACATTAACCAACTCCCCACCAATTCCAATTTCAATTCCACTTTTTAAAAATTAGTGTACAATGTTTAATCTAATGCTACCGCAAAATTTCCAAATAGCTTGTTTTGTAGAGAAAAGTCGAGGGTAAAATCCTACATTGTGGATAAAAATTGGTAACAAAGGATTTGAGAGATACAAAATTTTCAAAGATGCATCAAAAAACCAATTCTAGAACTGGTGCATGCCTAGTACTAATGATGGGTAGGTTTAACTTGAAAGCTCTACAGCATATCTAAATAAATAAAATAATGTGCCATATTAAGGGATAATCAAACTGCAGAAAAAAAACTACGTTCGTCTTCTCAACTACTTCGCGTTTACTAAAAATTTTCCAGTATCATAGACTTATATTAATGAGAAATAGATTCTGTACAAAGTAAACTGTATCAACACGTCTTACAAACTATCTAGTCGATGAACCGTACATGAACCTTTTTTCAACTACGAAGCATCAAACATTGCGTGAAAAGATTGAAAGATAGTGACTAATTAAAACAAAAGATTCACGTACAATCCATCAACCAGATGGATTATTGTGAGTCATGACAGCTTTTTTGTGTAGAATACTACTTTTACTAAGAGTATCCTACATGGTCGCTTATCCGCTATATCTCTTTAGTTGAAACGATCATGTCACCATCAATTTTTTTCAAAATTTTACCTAATAATTTTTTCATTTAAGCTTTCTAATCTTCTATCGAAAGAAGTATTTTTTTTGAAATTCTTTTACATGTAATTAAAACATATTCGTTTTCTCCAATATAGTCCACAAAAGTAAGAAAATATGATCGGACAACTATTTTTTTACTTGATTTATCATAGTATAACGATACAGCACCACTATCATCAAAGGTCTTGCACTTTCTTGTCTTGGTAGTTACACTTATGCTTAACTAAAGAAAGAAAACCTATTATCCGTACAATGACGATTCTATTATATCCGAATAATGGAAACTAATAGCACAACTAAATTACATCGAGGACTGAAACGATGATGATAAACTTCAATGACAGAAGAAACATTCTCTTAGCCTCAAGCAGAAACTATTATACAGACTAGAAAGGAAGAGACAAAACCAACTATGTTTTGTTTTTGATTTTTGTATAAAAACTCACTTATCACTTATTTGCTGACAAAATAATTCAGATCCAACTTATTAATAAAAATTTATTCATAAATTCTCTATTTTTCTCTCTCTCAATACGAAGTATTATTAATTAGCTGAAAACAAAGTAAAAAAAAAGGGAGAACTCAATCTGTGTAATATGAAGAGATTAAGCGTGTTTTGTGATTTGAAATGAGTGAGTGCTACTTCAACTACTCTGCTATTGTTTTGTGCTTAAACATAATACGAAATCTAGATGTCTGGTGATTATGCATTCATCATAATGAACGGGACATTTTTCACTAGAATAAAGCTCATGGGTTTTTTCTCCTTTTAAACGCGAAACTGATCTAGTTTTTAGAATAGGACCCCTTTTAGTTTTTGAAATATATGCAATGGCGTAACCAGGATTCTTAAACAACAATTACATGTTTGATCGCTTTTCGAAATTCCGAAACCATTTATTTCTTAGTTCCCATCGAAAACTGAGTCTAGAAAGCTAATTTTGGAAATTTCAGAAGCTAAATTGGACTCAGAGTGTGCGAAACACGAACAGCACAGTAAAGGGACTGCCGGTCAATTTTGCGGACCCTATCTAGTCCTACGATTTTGTAGATAAAAATCTTTCTTCTGTTACTTCATTCTGATCGCGATACTTGTGAGGAAAAAGTTAAGTATTCTTTTTGAAAAATTTGGTTTTGTTGTCGAGAAATTCAATTTTTTCAAAATCAGTGTAAAAACCATGAAATTGGACTCGTATGTTGCCATTTCCTCTATC